TACACCAAGAATGAACCTTAGTGTAATCTGTGGGTTTGGGGTGATCATCATGTGTCAGTGAAGGTTCACCAGCTATAACAAATGTATCACCCTGGTGGGAGATGTTGATAATGGGGAAGACTATGTATATGTGGGGAAGAAGGTGTATACAGAAAATCTTATACCTTCCTTTCAATTTTGCTGTGAAGCTAAAACTGCTCCAAGTTTTTTAAAAGTCTTTTTAAAATAAATCATATGGATCAGAGGTTGAACTTATAGCATAACCTATGTTCACAGTCTCACACATTTCAAATCAAAATAAAGTAGTCTAATAGGTTATATATTGTAAAACTAGAGGCCTGGTGCACGAAATTCATGCACTTAGTGGAGGGGATCCCTCAGCCCAGCCTGCACCCTCTTGCAGTCTGGGAGCCCTTAGAGCACATGTGTCAAACACAAGGCCCGCGGGCCAAATCCGTCCCGCCAGGCCTTGCAATGTGGCCCGCACCGCGCTGTCATCACTGCACTCCGCTGCGTTTCCATCACAATGACAGTTTATGACTGTTCAGTAAACCATTCGGCCCGCGATTTAGGCTGGATTTTAGATTTTGGCCCCTTCTCTGATTGAGTTCGACACCCCTACCTTAGAGGATGTCTGACTGATGGCTGTCAGACATACTTAGTGCTATTGCAAAGGTAGGAGAAACTTTCACCACCACTTCTGCGCTCACCAGCTGTGAGCCCAGCTCAGGGCTTCTGGCTGAGTGGTGCTCCCCCTGTGGGAGTGCACTGACCACCAGGGGGCAGCTCCTGCATGAAGTGTCTGCCCCCTGGTGATCCGTGCATGTCATAGCAACCAGTCATTCCTCTGTCAGTCAATTTGCATATTAGTCTTTTATTATATAGGATATATAGGATGATCTCAGATTTCATTTATATTCCTATTTAAAATATGAATTTGAAATGTCTGCCCGCACTTTGTTTTAAGAAGCAGAGGCACAAAACCCAGAAACTCAAAATAAAAATATATAAACAAATAAAATAGAAGCGTAGAGCCTGCCAGATCATCTAATTTCTCACCAGCCCTCTTTGCTATGCTGTATTTGTTGCTCTGGTTGACCAAGATTAAACTGTTCTACTGACACTATGCATGAGAAATCAGGATCACAGTTAGGCCACATTCAAGACATAACCTTGTCCAGTGTGTTCGAATATGCAGTATAACTATGCACATATGCAAAATTCATGGTAATTAAAAGATTTCCATAGCAATAGAAATTAAATCTCCCATCTCAGACTAAGTTACAAAGACAAATAATGTGAAGGTAGTAAAACAACCAGTTCAATAAACTTTTGTAAAGCATTACTATGTGGAAAAGACTGTGCTAGAGGCTGAGTAGTGACACTCTACCCCATGAAGGAGCAAAAGGAGGGAGGGGGCGCTGAATCAACACTTGGAATAGATGCTTGCTTATTGCAAAGGTCCTCTTTATTATGGGACATTGGGGTGGGGACAAGTATCTGCTGACCCAAGTATTATAAAAAATCGTTTCTCATAAAACTAACGTTACACAAAATTCAATTTTTAATGATCATCATCTACCAGCAGCTTACAATCAAGGAAGAGCCAGTTCAAACAGGTATACGAAAATCAGAGACAATATAAAACATTTATGCTAGTGACCAATCTTGGTTTATTTTGTTGTTGTTGTTGTTGTTTTTGTGTGTGTTTTGATAGAACAATTTTTTTCTTTATTAGAATATTACATAGTATGTATCCTTATTCCCTATTGCCCCCCCCCACTATTGCCTTCACTGCCCCTGTTGTCTGTGCCCAATGGTTATGCTTATATGCATGCATACAAGTCTTTCGGTTGATCTCTTATCTCCCACTCCCCAGCCTTCCCGCTGTAATTTGACAGTCTGTTCAATGCTTCTCTCCTCTATTTTTTGTTTGTTTGTTCATCAGGTTATAATGTTCTTTATTATCCATAAATGAGATCATATAGTATTTTTCTGTCACTGTCTGGGTTATTTCACTTAGCATAATGCTCTCCAGTTCCATCCATGCTGTTCCAAATGGCAAGAATTCCTTCTTTTTTATTGCAGAGTAGTATTCCGTTGTGTAGATATACCAGTTTTCTAATCCACTCATCTGCTAATTGGCACTTAGGCTATTTCCAAATCTTAGCTATGGTAAATTGTGCTATGAACATAGGGGTGCATAGATCTTTCTGATTGGTCTTTCTAGTTTCTTGGGATATATTCCTTGAAGTGGGATCACTGGGTCAAATGGAAGTTCGATTCTTAGTTTTTTGAGGAAGTTCCATACTGTTCTCCACAGTGGCTGCACCAGTCTGCATTCCCACCAACAGCGCACAAGGGTTCCTTTTTCTCTGCATCCTCACCAGCACTTGTCGTTTGTTGATGATGGACATTCTGACAGATGTGAGATGGTAGCACATTGTTGTTTTGATTTGCATCTCTCGGATGATTAGTGACTTTGAGCATGTTTTCATATGGCTCTTGGCCTTCCTTCTGTCTTTTTTCAAAAGTATCTACTTAGATCCATTGCCCACTTTTTGATTGGGTTATTTTCCTTTTGTTAAGTTGTATGAGTTCCCTGTAAATATAAGAACTTAGTAGGCAGTGGGGATAGAATATAAATAAATCAGCACTACAGAGAAGTTAGAGAATGGGGACAAAATGTTAATATGTAAAATATTTTTTTTAATTAAGAAGTATTTCTCCCCCACCCTGCTTAGTCTTGAGTGGATCATCTTATTCAACTGGAACCACAGAATAAAGATTATTTTTAGGAGCAACCAAAAATTGTGGGCCTACCCGTGGTTCAAAGAGTGATTGTTTCTCCCTTTTTCCTGACAGCTAAGTGTTAAGAGAATCATAAAATGATTTTATACTCCATATCCATTGAGGTCTACATGTTTTGTTTGCTTTTCACTTGTGGAATTTTAATGAACTTCTAAGTAGCTTCAAGCTACCAGGACACAGGCCCCACCAACACCCTTCATCTTCTGCTGGAGAACTTGGCCTTCACAATGACAGGCTGCTTAGGGAGTTTTCCCTTCTCCAGAACTTCGAAGTAGCCTGATCATACTACATCAATGACAGGAGCAGCTCCAGTCTTGTTCTGGGCATTTTCGGAGTTTGCTCACTGACCAAGGTCCATAGTTTATCTAGGTTGGCAGTTGGGCAGAAACTCTACTTCCTCTTTAAGTGGTAATGTCTCATACCAAGTTCCCCAAAGTCACCTGGGGTGATATTTGTTGAAATTGATCATGTGATGATGCAAGCCACCAGCATTACCTCGGCCCCCCGGGGTGCTTCCTGTGCTTGCCAATGCAGCTGTGGCCATGGCTCACGTGGCCCCGAAGTTTCTAGGTCTTCCTTAGTCTGGATGGCATGCTGGTGGCCAACATGCAGTGGGACTCCCTTTTGAAGTCTTGAGGTCTACATCTTGAGCAGAAATGTTCATTTTCATGTAAGGGACCAGGAGGTAATAAAGTGGTCTTTCACAGCTCAGATCAGGTGACTTTCCATGGCAACTGTGCAGATGACCATGCATTTTCATGCAATGTAAAGAACCAGCAATCAGCTGAAGCCGGCTTGGCTCAGTGGTAGAGCATCGGTCTGCGGACTGAAAGGTCCCGGGTTCGATTCCGGTCAAGGGCATGTACCTTGGTTGCGGGCACATCCCCGGTAGGGGGTGTACAAGAGGCAGCTGGTCGATGTTTCTCTCTCATCGACGTTTCTAGCTCTCTATCTCTCTCCCTTTCTCTCTGTTAAAAAATAAATAAAAATATATTATATATAAAAATAAAAAAAAGATATGTAATGATTTAAAAAAAAAAAAAAAAAAAAGAACCAGCAATCACTCCATAGCAAACAGGCTACCAAGCCATGCTCTAGCTAAACTGTCCAAAGGGGAGCCACAAACCACATGTGACTAAATTTAACCAACATTAAATAGCACTAAAGAAAAGTCATCTATTGGCACCAATTATTCTATCCTTAAGTGAAAAATCAGCAACAGGGTATGATTTATTACAAGATTTATTACAGTTTTAAAAATTCAATTATAGAATCTAAATTGGTATATGGAAGTTCATTTTATAATTCTATGTCTGAAATTTTTCATAACACAATATGGAAAAAATGTACTCTAATTAAATAGGACTATAAACTCAGTTACACTAGACAAATCTCAAGTACTCAGTAGCCACATGTAGTAGCAAGTGGTCACTACTGGACTGCACAGAGAACATTCCTATAATCTCAGAGAAGTTTACTGGACAGAGCTGCTCTCATCGACTGCTCAGGAGTCCTGGCAAGACTGCTGAGACTCATTCTTCACCTTAAGGTCAGGCCTGACTGGTTCCTAGGGCAGTTGGTTCTAACAGGACTACACATTTTTAAAGAGTAACAGAATACTAGGCATGGTTACTGACAGGAGAAAGGAAAGGTCAGGTCTATTAGGCAGAGGTTGAAGGGAACTGGAAAATATGAGTGGGACCTGTGCTCATTGGGAATTAAAATATAAATATATAGGTACACATTTAAGTCTAAATTTTTAATAATTTTTAAAGCTAAGGACTCATTTAGTTCCAACAGACACACAAAATATATATTTGTGAAATAAGGCATAAGGGCATAATAAAAGATGTGCCTAACATGGAGTACTGACTTTACCTTTGTAATCCTTGAGGAAATCACTCCTTATACCAAAACCATTTACTGTGAATAATCCCGAAGAATCTGTGATAAACAAAAAACCAGAGCCTTCTGTGAACAACTTCTATAATTACCAAAACCTTAAATCCCATCAGGTATGAAAGAAATAAGGAAAGATCTACAATTGCCTTTATTCTTTTATTATTTTAAATTTTTTGCCTGTGGATGCATATTCCTACTTTCTGCCAATATACGTACCTCCTACAACAATTTTTTATTAACTTTAAATGGCAATAGACATAGTCTCTTGAAAAAAATCACTCTCCATCCAGGTTGGTAAGCTTTATTGAAGCAAAATTTCAACAAGAGGTGGCTTTTATTTACAGAAGTCAATGTGTGTGGGGACTGTCCAACTCTCTTGGACACAGTAAAAGTACTGTTTATGTATTTTTCTTATTTTCAGTTCGCATACAAAAAAAATATGTTTGCTTCACATTAATAAAAATCCCAATATTATAAATGACAAATAAACCCTCCCTTATTCATCCCTTAATTAAATATAAAAATAGCTTCAAAAACATAATTCAGATCGGTTTAATCTTAAAATGTAATCCAATAAGACTAAAAACTAAACATTTCAGGTCCTGTACCAAATAGTAAAATACTCGAAGGCCTTCTGGATCCCTAAAATTGAAAAAGATAAAAGTTACTTTTTTGTTTCTAAAATGCAACAACATAATTCTATAAATTCCTAAAACAAAACAAAAAATCTAAAACAATTAGAGGAATGCATCTCTATCTTTTCTGTAAGAGAAAAATAAAAATTTTCTTCACCAGTATTCATTTCATTCTTAAAGTGTTTATTTTCTTATAATAGCAATGCATTACAAAAATGTATAAAGCAGATAAAATTATAAAGATGGAAAAAAATAATATTCATAATACTATATGATATCACATTTCACAGAGTAACTATAAACATTTTGGTGTTTCTCTATTTTCTTTACAAATTAAAATAATCCCTGTGCCCTTTTTTATTGTTGTTAATCCTCACCTGAGGATATTTTTCCATTTATTTTTAGAGAGTGGAAGGATGGGAGAGACAGGGAAACATGGATGTGAGAGAGACACTCCTACACATCAAGGCCAGGAATTAAGTCTGCACCCAAGATACATGTCCTCGATCAGAATTAAACCCTGTACCCTCAGTCCACAGGCCGAAGCTCTATCCACTAAGCCAAACCAGCTAGGGCAAATTATTCCCTGTGCCCTTTTTAATATTACTTTTACCATCACATTAAAAAGAACTCTCAAATAATTTTTAATCAATTTAACAATTATCTCCTTATTAAACATTTGGATATTTTTCCAATTATAAATAAGGGTTCAATGACCATCTTTATAAATAATAAAGCTTTTTCATTATCCTATATAAAACCCTAATACTCAAATTGACCGAACGAAAGAACAACCGGTCGCTATGATGCACACTGACCACCAGAGGGCAGATGCTCAACACAGGAGCTGCCCCCTGGTGGTCAGTGTGCTCCGCTGCAGACGGGCAGTAAAGAGCGAGGGGTCCTGGACTGCAAAAGCCCTAAACTGCAAGAAGGATGCCTAACTGCTGGCTTAGGCCCAATCCCCATGGGAAGCAGGCCTAAGCCAGCAGGCAGATATCCCCCGAGGGGTCCCAGACTATGAGAGTGTGCAGGTGAGGCTGAGAGGCACCCCTCTCCCCCGACTGAATGAATTTTGTGCACCAGGCCTCTAGTTTGAGAATATCTTTGTAGAATAGACACTCAGAAATGAAATTACTATAGTGAAGATGGGTGAAAATTTAACAAAATATTAATGGCTTTTGTAGTAAATTATTAAACTGCTTTCTAAAAAACATGTACCAATTTATAATCCCAGTAGGGTATGAATGTCACATTCTCATCAACTATGAGAAAATAAATTTGATAGTTTAAAAGTATCTCATCAGTCTTTATGAACATAGCCTTTAATACCCAATAGTTATTAGGCACTCATTCCTCTCTCCTCTAATAAATATTCATAAGGCCTCTATTATGTGCCAGGCACTGTGCTAATTTTAGAGATATACAAAGTTCTCATGGAGCTTACATACAAATCAGAAAAGCAAACAAATAAGTTATTACAATTTAGAGTGATAAGAACAAAAGGACACCAGGAGGATATTTTAAAGGTAAAGAGTGGGAAGAAATGGAGGCAGAGGGATTTTTTCAGGAGACAGACAGGGAAACACAACTTGGGAAGATGTACACAGCTAAAGCCATTAAACTATACTGGATTGTTTTTTTATTCATCTGAAGATTAAATCCAAGGAGGAGAATGATGTGATGTGAAGCTGAGGCTGATATCCAATAAGAATTTCTTTTAAATTTTATGAGTGTCCAGATTTTTTTTTAAGTAGGGCATTATTATTCATAGTTATCCGATTAAGATTTTTTTTTTTTTTTTTTTTGGATCAGCAGTAGAGCATCGGTCTGAGGACTGAAAGGTCCCAGGTTCGATTCCAGTCAAGGGCATATATGTTGGTTGCGGGCACATCCCCAGTAGGGGGTGTGCAAGAGGCAGCTGGTCAATATTTCTCTCTCATCGATGTTTCTAGCTCTCTATCTCTCTCCCTTCCTCTCTGTAAAAAATCAATAAAATATATTATTATAAAAAAAGATTTTTTTTTTTGTAAATCAATAAATACAGTTACCTTCTTTGACAGCAAGTCTTTAATGACATAAAAATCAGAATTACATCTGTATAATAAACAGACAGGGTGCCAATGAAATAATCTTAGCAAACTCGCTATAGTTCTAAAATGAACCTCTCTAATAAATTTTATCTATTATAGAGAAAATGCTTTATCATACTCACTTTGACTGATTTACATCAATAAGAGAACCTATTTTTGATGTAGTAAAAGAAATGTGCTCATCTCCAATTACAATTTCAAGCTCCTAAAAAAAAAAAAAGAAAATAAATATAATTAATATAAAAATCCATCCCAGAGATATAATATCTATATTCTTGATAACATGGGGGTCCCAATTTTAGCTGCAGGTTTTCTAACAATAACAGAGAAGGGGCAGGGTGGGGCATAATCTGTTTGACATAAACTGTGTCTATAATAAAAACTTAAACACCTGCATAGGAGTCCCCCAGGATTATGACTTAACAAAAATTGTATTTTATTATATATAAATTATACATTAGTATATTTATTAGATCTCTTACCCAGAGAGCTAATAAACATACTGAAAAGTGAGTGACATACAATTGTTTCTCATTATGTCAAGTAAACTCTAAAGACATCACTTTGAAGCACAATGTTGTAAAAATAATATATTGTACACTTATTTATAATATAATAAATAAAAGCACATTTACCCTTTTTACCAGGCTCTAAAAATAAAATGCTTTACATTAATAATAGTACTACTTTAGTACAAATATTATCTGTAATCCCTAAGATACACTTATCAAATAGGCTTTATTAGACTTTTACAACCAGGAAATCCAAGACTCAGAAAGCATCAGAAAAAACTTGTTTATGAACTGATATGTGAATCCTGGACTGTAAGACTGAAGATTGATATACTTTGACTTCACAAAACATTAAAATTAAAAACTATTAAATTAAACATAGCATAATGTAGATGTTCCCAGTGTGCCACAATTATTGTATAAATTTTTCTGTATATTTTACCTGCAAACCTAAAATCAACAATTAAAAGGCTACACCTGTGGTCATTTTTCAAGTTAAATAACAGATGCCACTGAAAACTGATCAGAAGACCTGATTATGCCATCGATAGCACACACAAAATGGAGAATTAACTAAGATTCTCAAACAATCATAAAATCTTTGACTTAAAGACCAACAGGCAATTTCTGAAGCATGTCTAATCCTCTTCAATAACCAAACACAAGACCATATTCTCAAGTGGGTAAGTAAACTAGATTCTCCCTGAGTTTAAAAGAGATAAACAGCTTACTACTTATTGCTTGTTTTTTGTACATATGCACATATGCATAAAACAAACAGATCTAAATTTACTTTTAAAAAGTGTTTGCAGTGCATAAGTACTATTAACTATTATATTTGTTTCCTAAATAATGTTTGATTAGATAGAAATTAAATTACTGCAATAGAGGGTCAATATCTGTTAACATTTCTCCCCATTTTCTTCTAGTTGAAGGGTTTACAAACAAATGTAATTAAATGTTTTTTCCTCCGAAAAGCCTAATTCAGGAATCAAACTGTCTTTCTACTGAGTGAAATCAGCCTTCAGAACTCGTCAGAAGGCCTCTGAGATACATCAGTTACTCTGAAGAGCGTATGAGAGGCAAACGCAGTGGTCAGCTTGAACAAAGAAGCCAATCAAATCCCTCTCTGGGGCAAGAGATGCAATAGTTTTCTAAATTATAAGGTAAACTTTACAAAGTCAGTGAAAATCTCAAGTCTCAAATTTAACAGATACCTATATTATTCCTTAAGGAAAAAAAAATTAATATGTAATAGGAATTACTCACAACAGTGTGAAAACATCTAACCTTACGTGGGGTGGCTACAGAAGACTATTCAGAAAGATGTCTAGATTTAGAGCTACATATCAACTCCTTTACTACAGGAGTAGCACAGAAAATGAGGAAAAGAAAAATAAAATTTACCAGATACCCAATTAAATAAAAAACTAAGGAATCAATGAGTGTCTATTATAAATAAACAAGGAGAAACATAACAATGATAGTATCAATTTTAGTATTTATGCATTTAAGGAATCACTAAATACAAACCTGCCGGCCAACCCTGTCAGGGGGAGGCCACAAAGCATCATCTTCTTTTGTAATTTCGCTGTCATCAATAATTCTCTTCAGTTCTTCCATTACACTCTTGTGTACATAAGCCTGAAAATAAGTTGTAACAAAATGTCATGATTCCTTTCTATTTCTTCCCACGACTCAGAAGGAAATGATAAAATGGAGTTACAAATCCTGAATATTAAAAGAGAATATCAAAGAAAATTTTAATTGATTCCAAAGTGTAACATCAGATAGAATCACTCATCCTTATCCTTTTTCTTCATTCTCTTGCCCTTTCTTTTCACTCTTCACATCACTTAGCCCCTTTTTAAAATCTGTATTCTGCCTTGGTAACATGGGACTCAAATCTCTCCAAGTGATTAATGATAACAACAAAAAATATATGAGTTGAACAGAGATTAAGTATACATCATAGTGATTTGAACTTTTTCTTATCCCTAATTTTTAAACCTTTCATTTAAAATTCTTAGTGTGGCCGAAACTGGTTTGGCTCAATGGTAGAGCATCAGTCTGCAGACTAAAGGGTCCCGGGTTCGATTCCAGTCAAGGGCATGTGCCTTGGTTGCAGTCACATTCCCGGTAGGGGGTGTGCAGGAGGCAGCTGGTCGATGTTTCTCTCTCATCGACGTTTCTAGCTCTCTATCTCTCTCCCTTCCTCTCTGTAAAAAAATCAATAAAATATATATTTTTTTAAATAAAAAATAAAATTTTTAGTGTGCTTAAATCATATTTATCATTTTAAATAGTGAGCAAAAAGATAAATTATAAAATTAATTAAATGATATGTTCAAATGTGAGACTATAGTTTAATAATTCAAATTGCTTCTTTTATTGTTACAGATGCTACAAGTTTACGTAATTTAAGAATTTCCTTTCAACATATAAATTAGCTTCTTCTTTACAACACAGCCTTATATATACTTTGTAAATTCAACAGACACAGGAAAATGGCTAACTGTAACAAATTAGACATTCCAAAAGAACTTACCTCTTTTCTGATCATGACATCATTTTTGTAATTGCTATTGTTGGCATATCTAAGCTTTCCTGTGGGGAGTGGAAAAAAATTCAATCTATAACAGCAAAAACTGCTAAAAAAAAAAAAAAAAAAAAAAAAAAAGAAAGAAATAAAGATGATACCGTAAGCAATTTTGAAGATAAACACCATTTTATATGACTACTAATATTAATATTTCTTCCATCCTAGCATATGACCAATGCCAGAATGTAGACATTCAAAAATTGCTGGTAAGTTGGCTGCAGTTAAAGCTAGTCAATTTTTTAAATATTCCATGACTTGGATATAATTTTTAAATACTCAATATAAATTTTTTAAATATTCAATATAATTTTTAAATATTTGATGCTTTCAATATAATGGGAAGACCATTTTAAGGGCCCATTTTCTTAAGCTATGTGTTGATCTAGACATAGACAAAGAAACAAACATTTCTTTTAAAGTTTATTTTTATGTCTGTATCAGTGCTGATTAGCTAGAGCATTTAACCTGATCAGTAAAACAACCTTAAAAGATAGGTTTTATTCTCCCACATACTCCCAGTTGAGTAACTTGCTTAGGGACACACAAAATTGAGATCTAGCTCTACCTTCTTCCAATACTCATGCTTTCCCCATTACTCAAAAATGTTCTTTTAATCATTTTCCTTTAAATTAATGTTCGTATAATGACAATGTTAATATTTTAGAATTGTGATTAGGAAGCACACAAACTACATGCTGCTCCTAGATAAAAGTAGGCCAGTTTGTTAACTGATCTATATTTAATTTTAATCCATCATGACTTGTACTCCCTCCTCATGGCTAGTCAGTTGCCCAGGTAAACATGTAATGTGGTCCTGATCCTTTAAAATGAAAGGTAAAATCTTGCAGGTGCTGCATGGACCTATGAACTAGGAGGTCATGGTTGGTACCCCTATCAGGGCACATGCCCAAGTTCGGCTGATCCCCAGAAGGGGGCAGTGCAGGAGGCAGCTAATCAATGATGATTCTCTCATCATTGATGTTTCTCTCTCTCTCTTCCTCTTCCTTCCTCTCTGAAATCAATAAAAATATATTTAACAAATAAATAAAAATAAAATACAGTGATAGGTAAAATTAAAATAAGATGATAGGTAAACCTAATGAGGTGAGCCCCTTAGGAATCCCTGGTTTGTGACTCACTATTTTTGATGAAAGTCTGAGGATGTTGTGGCAATAAATAAATAAATGAGAACCACTATTCTAGCATGAAATTTCCCTAATAATATTAAGACTACTTAATTTATGTGACTGGCTAAAGGTGATATGGACAAACTGAAAACTACTCATAGAAGAAGGCACTGGAAACAGTATCACATAACAAAAAAAAGAACAGAGAATTCACATAAATTGGCTCCTCGGCTAAATGTAGAAGAAACACAGGGAGAATGAGATGATTACCGTTTCTCAGTAATCGCAGGGTTGTCTTACCAGGAGTTCTGCCTAAAATGCCCGATGCTTTTACCCTTTCCTATTATGTTTTCCTCTCCTAATTTGTCTTCCATCCGCTCACAGAACTTTGTCCAAAACATGAGCACAGTGCTTACTATCCAATACTGATTTATGGTCAGTCATGTCTGTGTCACCCACCAAGAGACATAATTCCTCGTGGGAAACTAAAGTCTTATTCATTACTGACCCTCGATGTTTGTCTTTACATGTCGCCCAACACATAAAAAGAAACGTCGGAGCAGCTGGTCTGTCCTTGTTGCAAGAAGGGTTCAAGATACAGTAACACTCTCGCCCAATATACAATAACATTCTCTAAAAAGAATCAAAAGGTATCAAAAGGCAAAAAAATAATGCATACCTCAAGGGCAGCAGGCAGTTTTACCCCGCCCTTTGCTCACACTACCCTGCATCCCTCCCCCCACTCCACCCCCCTCGCTGCAGAAACTAAGAAAATATCCATTTCGAGAGTCATTTCAACGGGGTCCCCTTCTCTAGGAAGCTTTCCTTGCTCCTTCTGGTAGAACTAAGCACTCCCCTTTTCTGTGCTCTTAATGTATCCCGTAGGGAAGATGCCAAAACACATCATGACAGAGGCTCATTCTTCCACAGGCTGCGCTCCTCCCCTTCGGGGCGGGTCTCGCTCGTGTGTTTTTTTCTAGGCTCTCAACCTAGGGCGCCAGAATGAATCCAATGAATGAATGGGCAGCCCAGAGATTAGCCAACGGGAGGTTTGAAGCCTCCACTGGACCACCGCATGTCAGGGATGCTCTTAAAAACGTCCAAGCATTCGGTGGAGAAACCAGAAGGGTCCTCTGAGGCCCTGTCCGGGTGAGCTGACTCCAGAATGCTCATTAGCGCAGGTTCAATTTCAGTTCTCAGCAGCCAGGAACAGCCTTTCCGAGTGAACTGACACCGATTCATTCCCTTTTAGTCACAAAACCAATGTATGCCCCTTGCCTTCTCCAGCTCCTACGGATACGAATAGGATACGGGCCGCAGCCCCCGCCGGCCGCCCGCCCGCCCGCTCGCACCCCCGCCCCGCCCCGCCGCCCCGCCGCCCCGCCTCCCCGCGGGCTCCCCGCGCCGCTCCCCCGGCCCCGCGCCCGCCCGGGCCGCCCCTCCCTCCGCTCACCGTCCGGCCGGAACTCGAACTCCAGGAACTCATGTCCGAACTTGCCCTTGTGCCCTACATAGTAGCGCAGGTAGAAATCGCTGGCCATAGCCATGTTTCCCACCTCCACCGAGAAAGCCCGCCGAAGGCTCGGCCAACGTGCCGCCCGGCGCCTGGCAGTGACGTCACGCCCGGGGCCGCGCGTCACTGCGGGCGCGCCGCCGCGGCCTGCGGGTCCGGGCCGCCTGTCGTGAGAAAGACCCGAGCCGGGAGCTCAGCTTTGCTTTCGTGTGGGCGGAAGCATGTTGTGTTTCAGGATTACGTAAATGTCACATTGTACTAACCAAAGCACGGATGTGTGCACATGGGACCGCATTGGTCATGGCCCTGGAACAAAGGTTTGCAAGTCGCATTTCCTTGTGGGGCCCCGAGGCCTGTGATGAGTTGGGCGTGGCCTTAACCCCCGTTAACTGGTGGGATGAGTCAAGCTAAAGCCCGAAATGGGAATGTAAGACCTGAATACTGCTGGGGAATGGGCATTTTTTGAGCACTACTGAGGCCGTGGACTGTGCCCGGGACAGAGTTGTCAGTGCCAGACACCAGGCCAGGCCTGGATAGGGCCTCAGGGCCCCTTCCCAGCACGTAGGCGTTCTTTCACAGAACACTGTCAGCTTTCTGAAGAACAGGGTGACCCTGTGACTAACATGGTCGTCAGTGGCATGCCTCTGACTTTGCTTGGGAAAAATAAAAACTGTTTTGTTTTGGGTTGCTTGCCCTGCAAAAACAGGATGTGGTTAATATGCTTAAAAGGGGTCCCACACAAAGGGTCGGGGCTGCTCTCTGGATTTCCTGCGTGGAGAAAGGCAGAGCAGTGGCTGGCCCGCTAATAAAGGCTCCCTAAATTTTAATTTGGTCTGGACTGCAGTGGTCATTCACTCGAGTTCGCTCCACATCAGATATGACTCTCCTGCTGGATTTCTACCTAAAACAGGGCTCTCCCTTTGGACAATGAGAATTATCAGCCAACTCAAAGCCTATAAATAATAGAGACAAAGAATCCATCACACAGAAGATCTGAAATCTTGGAAGCACATTGAAACAAAAAATCCCGACAGTCCTAGGATGAAAACAGTTCCTTTTAATAATAAAGCTTCCTTCCATCAGTAAGGGTTCATCTTTAGTGGCCTGTGGAATAGTGGCAGTGACTTAAGTCAAATGGGTTAGCCCTTGTTTCCTACCAGATAGAATTACCTTGGGGAAGTGAGAAATGCTCCCGTGTAGGATGGGTTTTGAAGGATGGGGAAAGACAGGATGAGCTTTTACAGTCTATATTTCAAATAATATTGATCATACTTTTACCAACACACAGAGTAATCCTGTCTATAGATTATCTTTGACTTTCAATGGGATTTAGTAAAATGAGTGATGGTCAGAAGACTTGAGACTCATTCCCAACACTTCCCTCTACCTAACCTCGGTTAAGTCACTATCTCTAAGCCTGTTTGTTCATAAATCAAATTATTATACTGCAGTTGACATTGCCAAGCTCATAGAACTATTGAGAGGATCAAATAAGATGACAGAAGATAAGGTCTCAATTTAAACAGCATATCTTCAGGGAGTTCCCCATTTTATATTCCCCTCTGTCCAATTTGTTTCTTTAAAAAAAAAAATGTTTTTATTGATTTCAGAGAGGGGAAGAGAGGAAGAGAGAGAAACATCAATGGGAATCAGCTTCCTCCTGCACATGTAAGCTGCACACCAGGCCTGTGACCTGACCAGGACAGCACTGGTGACCTCCTGGTGCATGGGCCAATGCTCAACCAACTGAGCCACACAGGCCGGGCCTATGTTTCTTCGTAGCACTTACCAAAATGTGTAATTTAAGAATTCTCACACAAATATGTATATGTTTGTATCTTACTTTTCAGACTGTAATGGAAAGCTCTCTATTTCTTTTATTCATCACCTAGCGCAATGTTTAGTAGTGTTGTCCTTAACACTCAATTTAAAATATTTATTTGTATTTGAATGATTAAAGAAATCTTGTGTAAATTTGACTTAAATGAAGAACCTAGAAGCAATGAGTTTCCATAAGACTTTATTATGTAGTACCAAGCCACTCAACCTTCCTTCTCTCTACTTCCACTTAATTTAAATTCTGACAAGCCATTGTGGTATTCTTACATATGCAAGAATCATTATTTAGTTAGATGATTCATCCTGACTCCATCAGGATTCTAACTTCTACAAAATATTCAACAGACAGTCATCTTTCCTACACCAGCCTTAGATGGCCTTTCCAGAGTACCCAGAGTGAGTATTCTTTAAAATCACAGATCACATGTTCAACTGAATTGTTATCATTGTGATGTTTTCATTACATTGCAGTAGTCAGAGATTACTATCATCATCCAGAAATTCACATAAAAATGATGACTTCAACATTTTAGTCATGTGGTAGTTCACCATTGTCTTTAGGCATGTCCTACATCAGCATGACTGGTGACCGATGTTTCCTTTTTGGCTACAGTAGATTTTAAAAGAAAAAGATATAAAAGATTCTGGAATCGTAATGGGAAAGAAAAGAAACTAACACTTCTTGAGCATCTATTATATGCCAGATATCATACAAATACATATTCTCCTTCAGTCCTTACAACAACCCTGTGAGGTAAGTATTATACCCATTCCATCCTTTTTCAGACAATGTAGTTTATCTATTTAATTTGTCTATCTTCCATTCACGTTTATTCCTTCCTATTATAGAGATTCTGGCAATTTTATATCTGAAGAGCCTACTTTCACTCAATAAATATTATTCTAATGGAATAAGTTTCACAGTATCAATGGATAATTGAAAATCAGAAATTACTATCCTTCTGACTTGGATATAGTTTGCTAGGTCTTGATAAAGAGCTGGCCTACTAAGCATTCTTGCTTGGTTTCCACCTTTCATATTTTTAAACACACACAGTATATTATTCATGTTCCTAACTGACTCTACGCTCAGTCTCCTTAATCTTATAGGGACCAGGAAGCTAGCCTGGTGAACAATATATATTGAATGTTCTTAATCATCAAATGACCTCTCCATCTTCTAGTAAAAAATAGTATAAACAGCCGAAACTGGTTTGGCTCAGTGGATAGAGCATCGGCTTGCAGATTGAAAGGTCCCAGGTTCGATTCCAGTCAAGGGCACATACATTGGTTGCGGGCACATCCCCGGTTGTGGGTGTGCAGGAGGCAGCTGGTCGATGATTCTCTCTCATCGATGTTTCTAGCTTTCTGTCACTTTCCCTTTCTCTCTGGGAAAAAAAAAAGTATAAACAAAGTTCACTTGCCTCAGCATTAGATAAAAGGGGACCATCTTTCTCTTATCTATACCCAGGGGCAACTCAGAAATTTTCCTCCTTGATTCTCCTCTAACCCTACATGGAGGGATCATTACTGTGGAACTTTAAAACTTTCCTCTACCTTCTCATTGAAGCATGACCTTGGTTCACATCTACATCCCTGAACAAATAGAACCTTTAATTTTCTTTCTCATCAATTCCTTTTGGGGCTTTCTATTTCTTTGTTTGATTCTAATTTCTCTGGACCTTATAATAGTCTAGATAAAAGCATGTTTTGGGTAGAAACTAGCCAGTGGTAGGATGTACCAGCTTATTTGTGCCATGATTTCTCCTCCCTTGACCCTCTCAGAAAATTTTTTTTCAGATTTATAAAACCTCCTTTGCTGTTACATTATCTGCCCCTTCTACCCTGATTCTTTATGGTTGGGACAACATAAATGAAACTGTATTTCTCTACTCTGCTGTGTAAAGTCTCACCCAGCATCATTTCACATATCTAGGAAAATATATAGGGGGAGATCCAGCTCCATGTCCCACTTCTTCCTTTATGTCCCACTGGAAAGTCCATCCTCTGTTCTTAGAGGAATTCCCAGAGTATGTGGTCACCCATAAATGCTTCTTGCCCCAGGATCTTCAAAGGATGCTGTAGCTGTAGGAGAGGCTCGTTACACTGATGCCTGCCACAGCTGCATACAGTTTAGGCACCACCAGCTCTGGTACCTGCAACACAGCTTTGTCATCTGCAGTTCTAGAGGCAGTTTCTAGGCATGAGCATAATTCTCTAAGTGAAGGGCGGTTGTCCTCTTTCCAGCGCCAACAGGATTTCATAAGATTATACCTGAAAGGGAAGTAAGAGAAACTTACTGACAAGGCAGATGTCTGAGAAACATGGCTCCTCACCTAACAAATATTAACAAAAAAACAACAATCCTAAAATTCTTTAGTTTGCTTCTCCTTGTCCTGACTCTTATATCCTTCCCAGAGATTAACATTCTCTTATGCTTTTAATCTAAATCTCTTAATATCTTCTCAACGGGGCCCTTCAAATAATAGGAATGACTGAAGATTTCTCAGGGTACAATCATTATGACAGAACACACCCCATCCCCATTCTGTAGCCAAAAACTCTTTCAGAAGCTGTGTTCTGATCTTTAAATGTTATTAACTTGCAGCATTTCAAACCATTGGTACAACTTATCTACCAATAAAAGGTATATCACAACCAGGAAAATAAGAAGTCATGGTACAGCATAGGGAGTATCCTATACAATAAAAGAGGAATATGCTAATTACCCGTTATGCCCTGAGGCATAAAGACCAATCGAGTAAGGACCAATAACATAAGGACCAGATTATAGATCTGCAGGAGGATGGGGCAGTGAGCTACCGGAAGAGGCAGGGCAACAAGCTATGGGGCAGGGAGGGAGGAGCTACAGGAGGGTGGCAGCAACCTACTGGCACACGGATTTATGCGCAGGGCTACTAGTAATCAATAATATTGTAATTATGTATGGCTCCAAATGGGTACTAGACTTATCAAGGTGATCACTTCATTAGTTATATAGATATCCAATCACTATGTTGTACACCTGAAACTAATATATTGTATGTCAACTGTAATTGAAAAATTTTTAAATTATTGAAAAAATATATAAGAAGTTATGGAATAATATTATCCTAATTTTGGAAAGTGTAATAGGGTTTGTTCTTCCATGATTCCAGGTCATTTCCCCCCTTTATAATTTACCTTCTTCAGGAAATTGCCTCAATCTAGATAAAGTATTTACCACCTTTCACTTATCTTTTCTCCAATCCAGTTTAGAGAATGTATAATGCTGTCTGTTTTCAAACACTTTCATCATGTCCCATTCCTGCTGAAGAACCTACAGTGGTTTCCCACTGCCTACCATATGAAGTTGACATCCTACCCCCTAGCTTCTCTACCACATAGGCCTTGCCTAACTGAAGCCCCCTCCTCCAGCCAAGTCAGTGTCTCGCTATGCCATAGATGTGGGTATCAGCACCCAACTCTGTCTTTGCTCATGCTGTTCCCAGCTCCTTGAATATGCTCTCTGTGGTCATCATTTAAATCACAATTCCTCTCTGAAGCTTTCCCTTATGGACCTCAGTGCCTCTTTATTTCCCACACTTGTTCATGTTGAACCATGAGACTTTGTAAAAGATGCTACTTTAATAATACTGCTAACCTTTACCAAGAGCTTACTTATTACATAAAACATTGGAGTGGAACGTAGCATGCATTATTTCATTTTAGCCTCACAATAACTTTGAGGTAGGATTATCATCATACCTATTTCAAGGTAAGTAAATAATATATGGTAAAGTAGCAAGGTTAGCACTGAACTTATGTCTTTTTTGACTCTAAGATGAATCTGAGCTTTTGATATCTCAGATATCTCCTCATCCAATGTTAAATTCTTCAAGATTAGCAATCTTATCAGTTAAGTGTCTCCCTCCAGATCAGAGACAGCCCTTCATGCATAGAAAGCCTGCAAGATATATTTGTCAGCAATTTATTCTAGTATACCCACCCAGTATCACAATACTCTGTATATTTATACTTATGATAGATGACATTTATAATCTGCTTGATACAGTAAATGTTTACTTAGAATTTACCATTTAGTGCTGAAAATTTTACAAAATAGCAAAAAATTTCATGGAATTGTATATTAGTATATTATATTCTCTCCTGCCTTCTTATAAATAATTTAACCTTTTTGTATGTTCCATGACTATCCCTTTTTGTACTTTATTAGTCATAAAATGCTGAGCGTAATTTTTACTTTTTTTATTTTTTTGCACCTACATGGTTCACCAGCTATCTCATTCTGCTGGCAATATTGGCTCCTTCTTCTCCTGTCTTTAAAATTTCCTCCTACCTCCTTCTACTGGTTGACTTCTAATGTGCTCATAGCTGGAAAAACAAATAGTCAGTAATTTTTAAAAGTTAAGTACTAAATAAGAGCCAATTAATAATTCTGGTGCAATAGATTTTATGACAGCTAAATTAGAACTAAGGCTGGCAGTCTCTGACTGAGACCGACATTTAGACAAGTAAAACATTAGCATTGTATTTGGTCTGCTTCATACCTATTTTGGAAGCTTCTAAAGGAATTAAAACAAATTTGGATTCCTAACAGAGTTTCTCAGTGGTTGCGTCAACATTGTGTGTGCATGTATACATACACATACACATATGCACATATGATATATATGACATGTGAGCAGATGTGTTTTACTGCATAAGTTTGATATAGGGGTGTACATTAGCACATAAAGGACAGCTGGGGATGATCTCTTAAAAAGGCATGATTGATAGGGAGCAAAAAAATATTTGGAATGAGAGAAGAGTAGGCCTTAAAAGCCACTTACATGGTTTGCGTGCAGCTACTGGGTCTCTTCATGGTCTTCCCTCTTTGCAGATGCTGTAGAATGCTGGTAGGAGGGACTTCAGGATATGGTGGTGCCCCTGTTGGTAGGAAAAGCTTTATACATAGTTGGAATACATATTCCCCTATCTATATATATATAAAAGCCTAATATACAAATTGTGCCCTCAGGAGAGTAGCAAGAGGACATTGGGTCCTCTAGAATACAAACTATTGTACAAATCTGATGACAAAATTTTTTGTGTTTATGCAAGATCACTCTTGGAATTATTCTTTATCCTTTGGATTTTAAAATATCCTTGGAATTGATACAGTGTTGAGGAAAAGAGAAAGAAAGCAAAAGAAAATTAAAAGGAGTAGAAGGATTTCATGTCAGCTCAGTTCAAACCTCAGAGATTCAACAGAAACCCCTTCTCATAGAATATGTCACCCATCACTCAAACATACCTGCATACAGGTACATACCTAGAGTCACCATCTCATAAAGCAGGATACCAAAGGACCAGCTATAAAAGAAACAGTCATTTATTCAATTTCTGTTTTTCATTTTCCTAAAGAGAACTCACTTAAATATTAGAGGCCCTCAGGAAGAGCCCTCTAAAGAAGGCAAAGAAAAGGAACAGAGAGTATCTGATAAAATAAGCCAAGTAAGAGTGCCATTTGAAAGCATTTCTATCCAAGCCCATTAGAGTGCAATCCCTTTGAGGACTAGATTCATGTCTACTTTTTTTCTATATTTCATATTAACAGATGTTAACTATTATTGGCTAAATTATGGGTGTGTTTATGCAAACACATTCACTCAAACATAAAGAAATTCCCCTCAGCATATTTTTCATTCTTTCCATTCCTTCCTGCTAAAATTCCAGCCTTTATTTTTAGCACAAGACCAAGTGAGGGTTATAATTTATTTCCTCAGTATATCTAATTGACCAAACCTAGGAAAAATATTAACCGAACAAGCTTTATACATAGTTGGAATACATATTCCCCTATCTATCTATCTATCTATCTATCTATATATATATAAAAGCCTAATATACAAATTGTGCCCTCAGGAGAATGGGGATTCAATCACTTGCTATGATGTACACTGACCACCAGGGGGTGGTGCAGAATGAAGGAAGGCCCCAGCTGGCAGCTGGCAGCAGGCTGCCAGGGAAGGGAGGCCCTAGTTGGCAGCTGCTAGGAAACCTACTTGTGCACAAATTTCATGCACTGAGCCTCTAGTGCAACCTAATTTGAGAGATGTATATTTCACTATTCTATAACATCATCATTCAATTAGTAATATTTCCTAGTTCAGCTTACTGCTCCCAGACTTCTATTGAGAATCCAATGTCAGTGAAGCAGCAATGGAAGTCTCTTAATTGACTAACCATATTAATCAATATTCTAAATTTTCTCTGCTGCTCATGACATTTATAGTTAGTAAGATAGTCAATGTTACACCTATGTACTTCTCCAAGCAGCTGAGTTATATGGTTATCAAAATTCAATTGTGATTCTTTACAGTCCTGTTTATACCAATCATACATGCAGCTATAATTATGTAATCAAATATATGCAAGCTAATTAAATATGAATGCAAAAAAATATTAGCTCCCTGAAAAGTAGGTTGAATGCTTTGAAAATATTATATAAAAATAAGCTTCTAAAAAGAAAGTGGTATTAAATTGTGTGAGTGACACAAATGCAAAAAAAATTAGGAAAAACAACAATAAATGTCTGTGGTCAAATTGTTTCACAACTGTTTTTCAAGTTTCTCACTCAGAATTTAAACTGAAACTCAAAAATAATTTATGACGAATACTATTCATACAAGAAACAAGATGTAGCGTCATTTAGAAGTTTCATCCTCATGAAAAATTTCTTGACCCTTCTCCAAAAGATCAATCAATATATATCCATTTATATGTTTTTGTTAAAATAAATGATTTGTATGCATATTTCTTTTTATTTTAATAATTTCTGGTTTAACCAAACTTTTGATTAAGTGGGCCCACATCCTTCAAATTAAAAGGACGCTACAAGATATCAGTGTGAACAATCTTTTCATTTTTCTTTTGCTTTTCTAATTAAGGTTGCTAATCTAATACTGAAGGAATAATTCAAAAGGCATTAAAAAATATTGCAGTCAGATGCCAAATACAAGCTCTGTCGCATAATACGCATTTCTTCATGAGAGTCTGTTTGATTTCTAAGTAGACATAATTGACAACAGATGCTGTCATGGTCAGGGACTAGAGGACATTCATGAGGGTCAAGAAGGGCAGAAATCCCAAGGGCAGGAACAAACCGTACATGTCTCCTCTGATGCCAGCTGATCTCAGCAGTAGCCGTTCTGGGGCAAGCCACTTGAGGGGCACGGTGTTAGTAGAGGTGATAGTCCCTTGGGTGTGGACTTCATAAGCCAGGCCCAGTCCACAGAGCTTAGCGGTAAGGTCGCATTGGATCAGAATATTTCTGGCTGCCACGTCCCCATGGAACAGATGTTTACTCTGAAGAAATTCCTATCAATTTAAGATCAAAGGTAGATCAGCTGTCTGAGGTCACAGCTTGGGTCGCACCCAAGGAGAAGCAGTGCTGGGGATCATAAAAAACATAAGGACATTTTCTATTCCAAGCAAGTCTCTCTAATATTGGCATATCACTTCCAAGTCATGATAATGAATCAAACATTTTGCAAGTCCAACCAAACATGTTCTATAATAAAGTAATATTTCTTGTTTTTTTAGGAGTAAAATTGTTTAGGATTGGCTCCACTCGAGGGCATCTATGGAGTCTCTTGCTGGCAGCAGCAGTGACATCCACAGTATTGACAGAGATAGCAGGAGGGGTGGCATGGACACTCATAGCTCCGGCTGGGGCATCGACACTGGCCTTGACCCTGAAATGGCTGAGTATCTGCTGAAGCCACTGCCCAAGGACAAGCAGATTATGATGGGGCCCTTCCTCTAGGTCAGTGATCTGCAAACTTCTTAGTCACCAGAGCCAAATATCAACAGTACAACGACTAAAATTTCTTTACAGAGTCAAAATTATTAAACTTAAGCTTCTTCTATTGCCACGTCTTCAAAATAGACTCGCCCAGGCCATGGTATTTTGTGGAAGAGCCACACTCAAGAGGCCAAAGAGCCGCATGTGGCTCGCAAGCCGCAGTTTGCCAACCACGGCTCTAGATGGTGTCCCACCTGCCACCCTCCTTTGATTGCCTTGAGTCCACAGTGTTTACACCCATCAAGGCAGACCTAAGTGCCAACATTATGAAAATTAAAGCTGTGATTGACACCACCTGGCCATATAGAATATCCTGGAGGCAAAGAAGGAAATGTATGGAGCAAAGTGGTCCAAAGAGGGGCTAGGCTGGTGCTGATGTGGCTAAAGAGGCCTCTGCTTCATCCATGTCTTCCTCCAGATCTGTGATAGGGAGTCAGCCAAGAACCACCCCAACCTCATCCACATCAATGCCACCAAAGACTACAAGCTGGCCCTCAAGAAGCATCACAGCTGGATCATGCAGATTTTCCAGGACTGTATGCAACACCCTGTAAGTTCGACTTCCTAAAAGTGCTCACTAAGGGCCAGACCATGAGGGAGGAGGGGTGCCTGGAGAAGATCTGCTTTTTCCTGGTCAACTACAGGGCCACCACTGAAATCACCTAGGATATGTCACCAAGATGAACCCTGATCTCAATGACAAGGTGTAGGTGTGCCCAGCGGAGGGCCCATCTGGGCCACCCACCGCCCCACGTGTGGCTGCTCACAGAAACAGACAAACCAGAATCGCTGTGAATCTAGCTGGCAGGCTGCCCTTGGCCTGCATCCCCCAGAGCAACCCACAGTCTGGTTGGGGTCTGCGGAAGTCAGCCCTGGTTTCTGAAAAGTCATTTTTGGAGTCTATCCCTAATGGAGCAACAACTGTCCTACTTCTGAATCACCTTTGAGTTTTACAACAGCACAGACTGACTGTGGTAAAAAGCAATTAATGTTGTTAATAAATCAAGTCCTAGGGTTTTTTGTGTGTTCTCCCCCTCCCCACATGGTGCATGACTCTGAGGACATACACCTCACATTAAAAATGAGGATCTAGTGCAGTGATGTTTTGGGTAGTTTAAGGACAAGGAGGAATTTGATTTGAAATGATACAGGACACCGACTGTGGGATTTTTTTTTTAAAGCAAATGACTGTGTGCTCTCAGGTGGTTGCACAGCCCAGACTCAGCACTGTCATTATAGACCCTGCTCTTTCCCACTGTCTTTTTCCAGTTTTTTACAGTTGAAAACAACCAGCAAGCCTTTGATGACTATGAACAAAGGGACTTTATTTTAAAGCTATCAGGTACAAATAACTGACCAAATATAACTGAATTTGTATTCTTCTGCATAATTGTTTTCTTCAGGGACAGCCTTTCCAACGTAAGAAAGTGCCTACTATGTACATTTTTTCAAGGGGGAGACCATGAGCCCTCCAGATGCTGAGACCCAAGGAAATACCTCACTGCCTTTAACTGTCCCTCCTGGTGCTAATAAGAGCTGTATTTTTTTTTTATTTTTTTAATATATCTATTGATTTTTTACAGAGAGGAAGGGAGAGGGATAGTTAGAAACATCAATGAGTGAAAAACATTGATCAGATACCTTCTGCACACCTCCTACTGGGAATGTGCCCACAACCAAGGTACATGCCCGTGACTGGAATCGAACCTGGGACCTTTCAGTCCACAGGCAGACGCTCTATCCACTGAGCCAAACCGGTTATGGCAAGAGCTGTATTTTTGTAAAGTGTTGGTGTGAATAGGAGAATTCCGAGAGAACAGATGTGTGTTAAAAACCCAATGAGGAACAATTGGTGATTTTTATTCAGAAACTAAATAGTTCTTAGTAAATAATTCCATTTTTTTTTGGGGGGGGGGCAGTGTTTAGGACTACTAAACTGAGCAAATGATCCAAATAACATTAATACTGGGTTTGGAATGTCTACTAACCCACTGTGTGTCAAGCCCTGGCCCTGCCTGATTTCACCTTTTTCTCTGAGAGGATCAGCTGGCAACTGGAAAAGCAAGTAGGTTTCAGGTTCTAACAGCAGTCCCCAAAATAAGGTAATATGTACACTGAAAAATTGAGTGTCATAATAATGCTTTCATATGGAGTTTGACATCACTATATTTTGTCCCTAAAATAACTAGATGAAGTGAATTAAGGGATTTAGATAAATGTAAGTGATTACACAGGCCACAACATTTATTAAGAGGTAATGACCAGTAGTACATGGTTTTTTAATTCATAGGAGGAACTACAAATTATACTAATAATTCTCAAGCCAGACTGAAAAATCAGAATAGCCTGAGAGCTTTCTGAAAACATAAGGTTTTCACTCCATATTTACTTAACTGAAACCTAGGCAGAGGGACCTGGTAATCTATATTTTTAAGGAGTATTAATCCCGAGCTGTTTGGCTCAGTGGATAGAGCTTCAGCAAACAGACTGAATGGTCCCTGGTTCGATTCCAGTCAAGGGCACATACCTTAGCTGCAGGTTCCCCAGCCCTGGTTGGGGTGCGTGTGGGAGGCAACCAATTGATGTATCTCACATCAGTGTTTCTCTCTCTCCCTCCCTCTCCCTTCTACTATCATTAAAAATCAATTAAAATATCATTGGGTGAGGATTAACAACAATAAAAAATAATAAAATAAATGCATGTAAAAAAACAAACAAGTATACTAGCCAGTTTGGCTCAATGGATAGAGTGTCAGCCTGCGGACTGAAGGGTCCCAGGTTTGATTGAGGCCAAGGACACAGGCCCAAGTTGTGGGCTCGATCCCCAGTGGGGGGCGTGCAGGAGGCAGCCGATCAATGATTCTCTCTCATCATTGATGTTTCTATCTCTATCCTTTTCCCTTCCTCTCTGAAATCAATAAATATATATATTTTTAAAAATAAAAACCAAGTATTGAAATAATTCTAAGCATAGCCATCAAGGCATTTGAGAACATTTTTAAAGGCATATGGAGAACTTGAAAAAATTCATGACCAAAGAACTGGAGATTGAGATATATCATTATCAAATGAAATTGTATGAAAAAAATAAAAGATTAAGGTGGTAATTTCCAGTCATTGATGATGAAGGAAATAGTGACTAGCAATTGTTCTGTCTTTGGTAGAGTTTTATTTCTTTTCCATAATCACTTACCTCTCCCCCCCTGTATCCTTTTCCATCTCCACCTAATTCCTACCCCCTCTCTGGTGGAGTTTTAAAACAAATAAATTATACTATAATAAGGAGAATTAAAGAATGTAGTAACTTTGAGGTCGTGAAAAGTAATTTTTATTATAACTGGTAACCTAGAGCCCTGATGAATGCATCCATGGAATCAATATATCCCACTGGGGCACTTCTGCAATTATGACTTAGAATGCAAGGTAGGCTGTATCCTGACACCCTAATTTTGTCAAGGAACTATACCAACTAGGCCCTCCAAAACCAGAGATAATATTCATTAATCCAATGTTCTCTCTCCCTTGCCCCATAGGAACTTCAATTTTTACTACTGCTCTTCTTTTCATCTCACTACTTTTTTTTTTCTCCTTATTCCATTTAGATACCTAGTATATTTCACACATCCAGATGGCAAGATACACTTAAAAAACAAAAAACAAAACAAAACAAAAAACACCTGAAAGTGGAAGCTTCACAGAGCCTGATTTTCTAAAACAAATGCTATTTTAAATAAAATTATCTAAATAATTTCATAGGCATAGTCATCTAAATGTTCTGAGTAATTACAGTAAAGGTATTTTTTTTCCTCTTAAGCCCTGAGTTCTTTCTCTTGCCTCTTTTTTTAATTCTTTTTTATTATGTATTAATTTTTAAAATATTTATTGTCTCACCTCTTTGATTTGGTTTAAAATAAAGGAATGATCTATTGCTCCTTCTTATTCCTTCTCTTGCATTTGTTCCTTCTTTTTAAAGTATATGTATTTCCTATCACATTCAATATCAAAGCAAGTCTCCAACAAAACATGTTCTGAACTGGTATTTCTTGTTTTTCGGGTATAAAATGGTTTACTTCTTTCTGGTTCTGTAACCTTTTACCCAATCAGCTTAATCTTCTCATATAGTCTCCCAATTTCCTTCCCTATTTGCCCCTTTTACATCTAGTAATATTAGTATACATGGGGAAATAAAAGTATTAAACAAGTGGACACAGAGCTCTTAGCCCTGCTATGAATTCTGAGAAACCTTTTTAAATCCTTACTGTTCTGTTTAAAAACCCTAAATTGACTACCTTCTGCCCAGAATTACCAGTCCTGTAGTATCTACTCTAAATTCTTTCATTAAAAAAAAAGAACTGAAAATAATTTTTCAGTGCTTGAGTTTCTGCCCCCTAACTTCCATCTAATTTTCTTTATAATATATACCCTTTAGGAATATAAAAAATACAGCATCAAATACCAAGTTAATAAGAAAATCCCTACTATCTGTTATCATTTTGCTCAGCTTACCAAAGCCAAGAGAACCTGCTTCCCAATGTGATACACTTGTTTTTCAGTGAGGTCATAGAGAAGGCCATCCATGGTCATCACATCCTACAGAGACAGAAAAGAAGCATTATATCAAAATGGTATGAACAGATCTGAAAAAAATATATGGGCAGAGATATTCTTAAATGCATATAGCAAAGCTAAGAAAACAAGCATAGAACTGAAAGGTTCAAGGATAGAATAATATTACAGGTTCTCAAATATGAAGGTAAATACAATAATTTACTGGAATGGAAAAAATAATAAAGAATGTAGATAAATAGAAAAATGAAGGAAGAACAGAAGAGCAAGGACAGAAGACAAGTATATGCTTTATCCACTGGATAAAGCATCAATGTGTGTCTGTGTGTGTGTGTGTGTGTGTGTGTGTGTGTGTGTGTGATTAATTAAGCAGATTAACTCAACACATTTTTATTGAATGCCTATTATGTGCCAGATTTCATCTTAGGAACACAGACTGTAAGAGTGAACAAAATAAATGTGTTTGCTGCCTTCTAGAGTTTATAACATGACAAACACATATAAATCAGAATAAAATAATCATATATAAATGTATGATTACATATCTATAGGAACCATGAAGGAAATGCAAAAGAAAGTATATGATGGTGGGGGAAAGAGATATGATTCAGTTGGTGAACAAGAAAATTTTTTATGAAATCTGAAGAATGAGTGGGCACTGACTATGCAAAGAATGGAGAAGTTTGGTGTAATGAGAAAAGAGAGGGGTGGTGGTCTAAAATAGAGAAGCATAGCAATTTTTAAAAACAGAAAAGAACTAGTGAAGTTAGAGCAAATAACAAGTTATATTTAGATAAGCTCTTTAAAAGATTTTAAACACATGTCTCTAGGTAACACTGGATGGAAGATGCCAGCAGGGTCCCTTTTTCATACACATTTAATGGTAAAAATAAGCATATTGAGGAGGCTTGTTTAATATTGAACTTGCTCATTGGCAAGCAAAGAACTAACTAAGGAAACATATAGTGCTTGAGAAAGAGAAATTTATGAACAAGTAGGGAAACTAAAGAAAATGATTTGCTCTTTAATCTGGAAATTAATTTTTGAAAATATGAGTTTAAGGCACAAAAATTTAAACCTGAATTTTTCCTCAACTCAGTCCTGGCATACCTAGGATGATGTTACAGAATGGAAAGCACACTTAACAGTTACAACAAAATTACAATCAATACTAGATGATTATATTGTTATGCAATTATCACTATCAACTGCTACCATTTTGACTGTTTGCTCTATACCAATCACTGCTGTGTTTTTACATACATAATTTATTTTATTATTACTCCCACTTTACAGATTCAGAAAAATCCGGCTGAGAGAGGTGGCTTGCCCAAATTCACACAGCTAGTAGGAACTTAAAGTCCATACTCTAAATCTGCACTGCCCAATATGGTAGCCTGTGGCTATTTACATGTGTATCATTTTTAAATAAAATAAAACAAAAAATTCAGTTTCTCAGTCACATCAGTCACATTTCAAGTGCTCTGTAGCCACATGTAATTAGGGGCTACCATAGTGGACAGGGCAGATATAAAACACTGCTATCATAAAAAGTTCCATTGGATGGTGATACTCAATCACTCTGTTATGCTGTTATAATGTCTCTTTACTTTGTCCCCTGTGAGGCTCATGTGAACAGCCAATCAGCCAGGTAAAGCCTTTCCTTTCTAACATGTCTACCCTACCACTCACCCGGCGACAGTTCCAGAGAAAGCTGAGCAGGTCCCCCTGGGCGACATCCTCCAAAACCATATAGAGCGGCTCTCCTTCTGTGCAGCAGCCTTCCAGCTGTACCAGGTTTTGGTGCTTCCCCAGGAACTGATAGAATTGGATTCGTCCTAAGAAATCCTGAATCTCATGGAGCCTAGCTGGTTCTGTGGAGAACAGAAGAGCCATGGACAGTGGTCAGAACAGTTCAGAGAAAATGGGAAGTTTGAGGCGGGAAGCATCCTCAGATGGTAATTCTCAACGCTCTAAAGGGGAGTAACTATAGACAAAAAGTAAACAGAAAGGAAACCAATTAGAAGATGATCCTCACTGATCTTTGGTCAAAGGTAACAAAATTATAGAGCGTACAACTAAATGGCCAAGTGTGTTCACATTAAAATGTCATCACAGTCTAGGCCTTTGGATTAATAATCTTGTTTATTCTATCCTTGTTCTATGCATCCATATGAGCATCAGCAAAAAAAAAAAAAAAAAAAAAAAAAAAAAAAAAAAAAAAAAAAAAGAAAAGAAAAGAAACACAGTCTTGTCAGGGTGAGATATATAGAGGAGAAAAATGAAGAATCAACCTCATCATCCTCATCCAAGTAACAGTTTTGATAGGCAAGGTTGAGCTATGGGAAAGGAAGACCCCAGGAAAACATCTGTCTTGCGTTTTCACTTTCTAATCCCTTCTTGAATTTGAGGTACAAAAGTTTAAAAGCTGAATTTCTCCTCAACGCAGCCCTTCTTATTCTGCACACAATTGTAATCACAACTATCTACTGATTAACATCTTAATGTCTGCAAAGCCCATTAGCATTTACTGTTAGGGGTGCTCACAGAGGAAAGTTAAAAAGGGAAAGGGAGGTGTAACCAAGTTTTACCTTTTAAAACCTTGAGGACAACGTCCTTGGACTTCGCTGGGTCCCCGGGGTAGATCTTGGTTCGATAGATGGCCCCACAACTACCATTGCAGATCCACTCCAGAACTTCAGAGAGTTGATCCCGAGGTATCTGCAGCTTAGCCAGGGCACGTGTGGATGTTTGTAGAAGGCTTTCCACCGATGTCTCCTTAAGTGGCACAAATACACTTCCTTCACGCCCTCCTGCTTCCCCGTTTTGGCCCCTAACTGGAGGCGCAGGAGCAGTGCCTAGAACAAAGAGATGAGACCAACCACCTTTTTCTTACCCTCCAGACTCCAGGAAAGCAGAGCTTGGAACAAACTGGCAGGAAAGTTCCTTTAATAATTTTTTTGCCACCTGTTGTGGGGGTATTTTCTGATGCTTCTCTGTGAACCAGCATCAATACCAACCTTTAGAACTTTTATAATTCCATTACTTCTAAGACAACTCAAAATGGCCTCTTGAAAGTGGTAATGGAATTTCTTTTCTGTTTCTCAGAATCACAGTTCAATATAAATATAATATAGAGACAATTGAGGAAGTTCCTGAATAGTTACTAAAACCACAGATACCTAGCCTAGCTGGTGTGGCTCAATTGTTAAGCATTGATTCGTGAACCAGGAGATCACCATTCAATTCCGAGTCAGGGCACATGCCCCAGTTGTGAGCTCCATCCCCAGTGTGAGGCATGCAGGAGGTAGCAAATCAATGAAGTCAGTAAAAAACATATTGAAAACCACAGATACGTAAAGGTGGTATCTCTCTCTCCCTCTCTCTTCCTCTCTTTGAAGTCAATAAAAAACATACTTAAAACCACAGATACCTAAAGGTTGTGGTAACTGCTAGTAGGGAATATCATTTAAGTCAATCAAATGGCTCCCAAAAGAGGAGGGGAGGTATGGATAACTACTTAACTCTAAGCTATAGTTATTCTTCCTCCTTCAAATTGTGACCAGGATCATGTTATTCCATACTTCTTCTTAGTTTTATTATTCAAAAGGTGTTCTGGTATTTTCTCCCTTCCTTAGCCAACTTTTCTCTATTGGAATAGAGAAATTCATTCTTTGTATTAAATCTTCATTCTTTCATTAATTCATTAATTTATTCAACAAATATCACCTCCTACATGCCAAGCACTGTTGTAACTTTTGGGTAAAGTCCAGATTCTTCTGAAGATTATTTTCCAGTAGTTGGAGAGAGGAGCAGATAATAACATACCAGGTTTTGAGTGTTATGGAGAAAAGAGAAGCATATTTAAAAGTCAGGAAAGGCCTTTGTGATGACATATGAGAAATAACCTGGAAGTAATAAGAGAGTAAACTATATCCTGGTATCAGGAAGGGTATTATAGACAAAGGAACGAGAAGTGCAAAGGTATTGAAGAAGGAGCATGCTTGGCACACTGGAGGAAGAGTAATGAAGTCAGTTCAGTGGAATCAAGTGTAATAACTGGAGAATTATAGGAGATGAGGCCAGAGCGGGCCCAAATCATGTAAGACTATAGAAAGAATTTCATCTTTTTTCATTTTAAGATGGGAAGCTATTGGGGAGTTTCCAAGCAGAGAATTGACAAGACTGACTTACACTTTAAAAGAATCATTCTGCTTCTCTGGGGAGAATACACCATGAAGGTATAGGATTACAAGCAAGGAACCCAGTTAGGCACGTATTAGAATGTTCTATGTGAGGTCAGAGTGGTATACATTATTTTGAAAGTAGAGTAAAAGGATTTATTAATGGATTCGATGGACACCTTTAATATTTCAGACTGAATGCGTAGAAATCTGTGTTTGCCTTTTACTAAGATAGAGGAAGACTATTGGCAGAGGATATCTTGTGAGGGAATTTCAGTACCTTTGCTTTGGACAAATTACATATGAGATGTGTATTAGATCCCAACTTCAAAATAGGTGATTTGATATAAAAATCTGAAATTCAAGGGAGACTATAATTAAAATAGAGAAAGCATTTGAATCTATATATTTAAAATGAGATCATTTAGAAAGTGACTAGAGATTTAAAGAAAAAAAAAGTAGAAAGAAGTACAAAATATTTCGACAGGTCACAGAAGATAAGGACTCAACACAGCTGTCATTGGTGATCTTGGAAAGAGTTGTTTTGGTGGAGTAGTGTGGTTGAAAGCTGTATTTTAGTATATTCAAAAAAGAATGCAACAAGTGGTAGTGAGAGTGAGTTTAATTTTTTTGTTTTGTTTTATTTTTGGTTAAAATATCCTCACTCAAGGATATTTTCCCATTGATTTTTTTAGAGAGAAAGGAGGTTTGGAGGAAGAGGGAGATAGAGAAACATCAATGTAAGAGAGACACATATCGATTGGTTGCCTCCCACATGCACTCTGACTGGGGCTGGGGATTGAACCTAAAACCCAGGTATATGCCTTCAGTGTGCAGGCCAACACTCTATCCATTGAGTGATAACAGCCAGGGCAATATATGGTAGGATTTTTTTGTGTGTGTTTTCTATTGATTTCACAGAGAGAGATAGAAACATCAGTGATGAGAGAGAATCATTTTGAGCTGCCTCCTATAGGCCTCCTATTGGGGATTGAGCCTGCAAACTGGGCATGTGCCCTGACTGGGAATTGAAGGGTAACTGGCCTTCTCGAGAGTGAGTTCAAACAATTTCTTTGGGAAGGTTTTCAACAAGAATGAATTATAAGAGTCTTGGGATAAAATTTGGAAAGGAATTGGTGATCAGCCACTATGAAGTTTCATATTACTGTCAGATATTTTTCCCCCTTATTTTTACTCTTAGTTTTTTGTTCTAGCTTATTATCTTTCATTATATGCTCAGTGGTATTCCAGAACAACATGTTATCATCTCCTACCTAACTCTTCAAAGACTATTATGAAAGCTATCCCTTTTCATCATATATTCCAGGGGCACAGAGTAGGGCTGAAATGTATTATAGAATAAGATGTCATCCTTCAAAGCTGATAACAAAACCTGCTAGGTTTTCCTCCCAGATCCTTAGACATTCATGTGGTCATATGATAGTGCAATAAGACAAAGAGGACAGAAACAGGTTACATGAGACCTCTCTTTCCTGTTCTGCTATCAGCTAACAAGCATATGTGGAATTTCTACTCATGAGACCTCTACTTTCTCCTGTCTCTAAACTCCGCAGGAGGGGACTCATGCCTCCTTTTGCATTGCAGGAATCTAGACTTCTACTGTAGACTTGGACCCACTGAGATTTGGGTTTTGTTTTTTGCAATCTCTGTCTTCCCTGAGCTTCTGTCCAGCCCCAGTTTGAGCTTTACCTTGGAGTCCAGGTGTCTGCTGTTGAGCTCTTTTTTCTCTGATAAAAAGCCACAGGATGACCCCAAGAATGATGAGGGAGCCACCAACCAGAAAGACTGGGATGATGATGATTTCATACTGCTGGTGTGAGATAACTGGATAGAAAATTAAACAGAAAGAAAAGGGATTAAAGAAGAAGCCTAGCCTGATGTCTACACAAGTTCTCCTACCCACCAATCTTCAGCTCATCATACATAAATGGTCATCTCTTCTTTCTTCCACTCCATTTTCATTCAGTGGAAACCCTATTGGGAGCAACTCTCTCATTACAACCACCAATGTCCCTCTTTCTTAGTCCTGCAAGTGTGCTCTGTGCCTCTTCTCTTATTTTTCCTACTGAGATGACGAATGCAGCATCTTCACCTCTGATTGGCACTTTTTAAAAAAAACAATGGCCCATTTCTTTATCAATACTGTCTTCATTTCTACTACAAATCAAATTATTCCCCTCCTAGATTCTATCCAGACCTTAGTATTCATTATTCTAAGAGAAGAACACAAACATGTGTACTTACTACACAACTTGTCACTGAGACTGCATCCCTTTAGACTTTGTGTCCTGCCCTTCTCCTCTCCCATTGCCACACAGCTGTCCACTCCTATGCTTGATCCACAGAACACGGCTGAGAATAATTCACAAGGATTGAGTTGGTCTGGAAAAAGTAAAATAGAACACACAGAAAACTTTAAAACACATCTACAGATCACTGGATATTAAATTCATGGCTACCTGGAACTCTCTGAGCCATACATTCCTCTCTGTCAATGTACTTGATATTTGGGCTGGAATAATTTTATTCTTTTTATTTTATTTATTTATTTTTAGACAGATTGGGAAGAGAGAGAGAGAGAGAGAGAGAGAGAGAGAGAGAGAGAGAGAGAGAGAGAGAGAGAGAGAGAGAGAGGAGACATTGATTTGATGTTCCACTTACTTGCACATTCATTGGTTGATTCTTGTATGTGTGGCGACCTCAACCTTGGCATATGGGGACAACACCCTAACCAACTGAGCTATCCAGCCAGGGCAAGAATTTTATTCTTTTCCTAGCATTTTTCTCTTTTACATACCAAGTACAACCCTGATCTCTTACCTTTTCAGGCCATTGTTTCTCAAAATATTTTTGAAGGCTCCCTTCCTACTTAAGACCCTTCTCCAGCGCTCAAGTACATGAGTTATGAGGGGAAGAGCTGCCTCCTATATAGTCCTCAAGCAGGTCTAATGTTCTTTTTCATTTAATTTTAAAATAAAATACAGGGTGTGGCAAAAGTAGGTTTACAGTTGTTCATATGGAAAATTATACAATTAGTAATAAATAACAATACAAGAATAAACTGTGTTTTGTGTACTCAAAACTGTAAACCTAACTTTGCCCCATCCTGTATTTCACTTCATTTATATACAATGTTAATGAAGACAATGAATAAATAGATTTCAAGAAGGAAGAGTTGTGCATTTGCTTTCCTTCACAACCAATGAACAATCAACTTTTATCAATAAAAGCTATTTAATTCTGTAGCTCTTTGAGCTCTCTGAGCTCCCTTGCTCACACTCCTATATAATAAAGACATAATATGCAAATTGACCATCACTCCAACACACCAGATAGCCACCCCCATGTGGTAAAAAATGGCCGCCCCCAGGTGGGCACAAGATGACCAGCAGGGGAGGGCAGTTGTGGGTTATCAGGCAAGCAGGGGAGGGTAGTTGGGAGGGACCAGGCCAGCACGGGAGAGTAGTTGGGGGCAATCAGGCCTACAGGGGAGAACAGTTAGGGGTAACCAGGTCTGCAGGGGAGGGTTGTTAGGGGGATCAGGAAGGCAGGGGATGGCAGTTAGGGGCAACAAGGTTAAATGGGCCTTGTTGGGGTCCCAGAGTGTAGAGGGGTCCCAGAGTGTAGAGGGTGCAGGCTGAGCTGAGGAACACCCCCCACCCCGGACGAATTTTTTGCACTAGCCCTTTGGTATACAGACAAATACAGACACTCATTCTTACCACTAAATAGATTCAAGGGAGGGTCAGTATCTAGCCATCTTCTCTTTCTCTCTCTCCCTTTTAAACAAAAAAAGAGTCAAAACCGGTTTGGCTCAGTGGTAGAGCATTGGTCTGTGGACTGAAGGGACCCTGGTTCAATTCCGGTCAAGGGCATGTACTATTGGTTGTGGGCACATCTCCGGTGGGGGGTGTGCAGGAGGCAGCTGGTCGATGTTTCTCTCTCATCGACGTTTCTAGCTCTCTATCCCTCTCTCCTCCTCTCTGTAAAAAATCAATAAAATATATATTTTTTAAAAATGATTAAACAAAAAAAGAAAATATATATCTATTGTTCAAAAGTAAAAAGTATAAAATAACATACTATAAAAATCTTTTTTTCAACCCACCCCTCTCCATTTGTCCAGTTTCCAGTTCCCCTTCAAATACATTATAGTTATAATAGAGATTCTTCATGTGAATCACTTCTATGGTAATTCTGTATAAGTATACAGTATACTTAAAATGATTCCTCCAGTATCCTGGACCTTCCTTTCTGATATAACTGGCAGTTACCACCCTTCCATATATCTACAAACTTTATCTTTGTTTTTTGTTTTTTGTTTTAATATATTTTATTGATTTTTTTACAGAGAGGAAAAGAGAGAGATAGAGAGCCAGAAACATTGATGAGAGAGAAACATCGATCAGCTGCCTCTTGCACTTCCCCCACTGGGGATGTGCCCACAACCAGAGTAGGTGCCCTTGACTGGAATCAAACCCAGGACCCTTCAGTCCGCAGGCTGATGCTCTATCCACTGATCCAAATCGGTTTCGGCATACAAACTTTATCTTCGTTAACAAGAATCTCCCCTGGCTCTATGGTCATCAAAGCCTACTTATTGAATTTTTATTGATCTGAAAGAAAATTCTTATTGATCTGAAAGAAAAATTATTTTCCACCGTTTAGGTAATCCTAAGTATGTGGTCTACTTTAGTAGTCATTTGATAACAAGGCAGAGTTTTAAAAACTAGAATTGTAGCTTATATGACATATAATATTATACACATGTTACATTAGCCTCATTACATGTTGTGTTTTATTACTGGTATTAATAACAACAGTGCTATCTACTGAGGCAGAATCTTTTGGTAAAGGAGATTCTCAGCTCCAGCCAGACCATCTTTTCACTATTCCTGCAGCCCCGTGACCTTATATGGGTGGATGAGAGTTAAACCATTTCCTTATAACTTATAAGACGGACAGATGTGTAGTTGGTTGATAGAGGCCCAAGTAAACAGAGGAATAGCCCAAAGAAGAAAATTGGCAGAGAAGAAAAGTAAATTCTTATCCGTGGGTTTGCACATAACAAGGGATCTGTGAAGTCAATGAGTAATAAGACTGCAAAGTCCATCTCATTGAGTTTGTAAGCCAAAAAGGCAAGGTGAAAGGTAGTTGAGAAATTTTCCACAATTCCATAAGACCACATGGAAGGAAAAATACTTAAAAAAAATAGAGAGCCTTGTGAGGGTAGAATGAAGAAGATCTTAAAAATAAACATGTTCAATCAGGAGAATTCAAAAGCCATATGAAAATTTCTCACTGCCATCCTCATTCTTATTTTCCTTGCCTCTTACTTCCTTCTCAGTGCATTATCAAATGTAATTATTTTCATTCAGGGAGCAGCCAGGTTAATGAGTTTGGCTCTCTGAGGAATAGGTTCTGTGAGCATAATCTGTCTTACCAGAGCGCAAGTGGAAGATAGGTCAGTCAGCAGCCAGCTCAAACTCATGTGCTCTGCCCAGAAACCAAACTACACACCCACTAATACATCCTGAAGGGAGCTATTTAAAGCCCAGTGTGCACACATATCCCCACATAGAGGATGCTCGTGATGGACCACTCTCAACTATAGGCACATGGCCCAACATACCTACACCCGAAGTCTCATGCTCATGTTTACACCCCTGCACCTGGAGCACATTCATTATAGCACCCACCTTTGGATACAATATGCATTTACTGAAAAACATTCTCAACCTCACTTTTATTTGTGCATAAATAGTTTAAAGAGCCGAAACCAGTTTGGCTCAATGGATAGAGCGTCAGCCTATGGACTGAAAGGTCCTAGGTTCGATTCCGGTCAAGGATATGTACCTTGGTTGCAGGCACATCCCAAGTGGGGGGTGTGCAGGAGGCAACTGGTCGATGTTTCTCTCTCATGGATGTTTCTAGCTTTCTATCCCTCTCCCTTCCTCTCTGTGAAAAATCAATAAAATATATATTTTTTAATAGTTTAGAGAGTTTAGGGTTTTTTTTTTTTTTTTAAATATATACAATATTTTTGTGGTTAAATTTTTTTTTTAATTTCCAGATGATTCTTGTCTGATACAGAAAAGCAGCCCAGGCCCCACATACTTTACTACAATTCCAGTATTTACACTTGACAACTGGATATTTCAATCCAGAGATTAGGTTCAGGTTTCACAGTTACAAAGAGAACATCGGCATCTCCCTCATAGGACATCCACCTAAAGGAGCAATGCAAAGGCTGTGGTTATTGACAAAATGCTTTAACCAAAAATTATACTGAAAAGAGATTCCTCAACAAGCCATCAAAATCCCAGCCAAGGAGAAATGTGGTGTTAGCAACATAGCAGCATCCAATAGGTAATAGTCAAACCAAGCTGTAGTACACACTTTGCCAGAGATAGAGCTTGGGAGACTGGGGGCATAGATCTAGGATCTGAAGTTAGCCCACCCACCCCCACCTGCCAGGTCCCTGTGGTTTACAGTTGGATTTGTTCTTTCTAAAGACCCCTTCAGAGGTCCCATGCTAATCTTCTTTAGTTGTTTGGACTTCTTTTTTTCCTTTTTGGTCTATGTCAAAAGCTCGATCCTCAGGGTGGGGTGTGCAGGAGGTGGCCAGACAATGATTTTCTCTCATCATTGATGTTTCTATCTCTCTCTCCTTCTCCCTTCCTCTCTGACATCAATAAAAAAACAAACAAACAAACAAAAAAACCTAAAACAAATAAATGTCTTAAATTTGTATAACACTTCAAAGGAAATGAAGTGTGTTCTTCCACATGATCATACTTAAAATCTGAGGTAACTTGTAGTGTTAGTGGGCACTGCACTTTTATGATATGGGGTCTGTCTGTCTTGCAACCACTCTGCTCCTTTACAGAGCCAACTTTTCAAGAGGAACCAAGATACAAATTAGTCTTCCTCATCTGTCCTGTATATCACCTTTGTTTCAGGAATGCCTGCAGACAGCTAAAAATAAGAAGAAAAAATTATGGCTCTTGGGCTTAGTGTCAAAAGATCTCTCTGGCCGAAACCAGTTTGGCTCAATGGATAGAGCGTCAGCTTGGGGACTGAAAGGCCCCAGGTTCGATTCTGGTCCAGGGCATGTACCTTGGTTGCGGGCACATCCTCAGTAGGGGGTGTGCAAGAGGCAGCTGATCGATGATCCTCTCTCATCGATGTTTCTAAACTCTCTATCTCTCTCCCTTCCTCTCTGTACAAAATCAATAAAATATATTTTTTTAAAAAGAAAAAGATCTCTCTGAAAAGTGTCAGGATTCCAACCACCATAGGAGAGCTTGTTTTCCAACCCATTCAAAGTGCGTTTTAGGTCTGGGGTCCCTGGGAAGATAGGGGAGGGTGAAGATTAAAACAATCAATCTGTAATCACTTCCGTTTTTGCTTCATGCACATTGGGAGATATCACCAGGCATAAAGCAAGTTATCTACGCAAGTCTGATTCTCTGGATTTAAAGGTCACCTCTTCCATTCATTCTTCCTCTCACAAGTTTGCTTCCTTGGGAAGGTTGATCCTGGACACCTGGTGATCCAGCATGGAGACCCTGATTCTTAGGCCAGTGCTTTGTCCTCCGGGTGTTCTAGCCCCTTCCTACCTACCCTTCAGGCTCACAGCAAAACATTGCTAGTCCTAGAAATGAGGCTTTTCCATTCAAAAAGCAGAAGTTAGAAATGAGATTGGGATCAGAACCAGGGAAGTGAGCAAAGAAAATGATCCAAGATCCCATAATTTAGTGAGTACTGGGGAAATTTTCTGATTTCACCCTTATCTTCAGAATACATTTTGAAGGTACACATGCAGGCATCCTGCTCCACTATGACTTGCAGGCAGACTAAACTCATCTTTTCGTTCCAATTTATGGTATTTTGGTTGATGAAGTTTGGTTTTAACATTATGGTTTCCATGGTTCTTTTGGTTTCTGACATAAATTCTTCTTGACACTAATCTTGTCTACCTGAGTGACAAAGAATTAGGTGTAGAAAAGTAGTTTATGGAGTAATGGGTTTGGAGTTAAACAACTGAAATATAGAGCCCTGCTCTGCCATTTACTTACTCCCCCCCCCCCCCAGCTAACTCAAAATTTACTAAGATACAAATAAGAAGAGAATGAGAGTGAAATGGGAAGTCCAATTCACCCCAAGACTTTGCAAACATATAGTCTAGAAACCACAGAAGTTAATAATTATAACTAGAATTGAGCTAAGTAGTAATATTAACTCTCCAAACTCTTACACCTGCTCACAATGCAAGCACAAGGCTATGATGCATCTCTAAATCTGTTTTACACACACACAGCATTTTATCTGCAACTATAACACAACTCTCACAGTGCCATTTCTCTTCAGTCAGCACAGGCAGTCTCCCGGACATAATCAACAGTTTACCCACGAGTGTCCAGAAGAAATTCTTCTTACCAAAATATACCTACAGATAAAACTTAAAAAAATAAAAAGATCCATTCTCCTGTACACTACCTGCCTATGTGCTGTGAGAAATCCCTTGGCTGACCTCTGTATAACATCGGATCCCATCCCATAAGGCGTCATTAAATCTGTTATGCTAGCCTCACCCTCAACCTTACTGCCTGCATATCCACACAGGTGTATCAGCCAGCCTTAGCTTTTTACCTAGATAAGTGACTGACCTTTGTGGGTGGATGCCACCCTGGGTTAAGGTAGTTATTAATAGCTGTGGGCTATGGGGCAGAGGACACAAAGATGTAATGTGAGGGGAGGTAAAAATATATGGAGATAGCAGCCCCCAGAATGAGAGTCATTCAGTCACTCAGCCTTCATTTTTCCTCCCCTTTTCAACTTTACCCGTAAGCTATCTAGCAAAAGAAATAGCAAACAAGCAAAATAAATAAATAATAAAAACAAACAAAAACTCTTCTAGAGGATTACAGAATTATCTCCAACATTCTGAAGATAAGCTATCCTTCCTTTTTTTTCAGATCCAATAAACATATACTGAACAACTACAATATATATGCCAGGTATTATGTTTCTTTTATTTTGTTTTTTAGATTCTACATATAAGGAAATGAGCTGGTATTTGTCTTTCTCTGACTCAGAAATAATATATCTTAAATTAGACATTCTCCCTCTGATTATTTTCTATTCATAGGATTACTAATTGATAGCAATTTTTCCAGCCCAGAATAATGGATGCCAAGAAGAAGAGAAGTCAAAAAGCTTCTCTACAGCAAAAGAAACCATCCTTAGAACGCAAAGGGAAGCCAGGTGTGGAAAAACATATTTGTCAATGATACACCTGATAAGGGTTTGATTTCAAATATATATAAAGAACTCATACAACTCAACAAGAAGATAAACAATCCAATTTAAAAAAATGGACACTTCTCCAAAGAGGACATATAGATAGACAATAGACATATGAAAAAATGCTCAACACCTGCCAGAATGACTAATAAATCAACAAATAACAAGGCCTGGTGAGGATATGAAGAAAAGGAAACCCTAATGCCCTGCTGTTGGGAATGCAGACTGGTGCAGCCACAGTGGGGGGAAAGCAGTATAGAGTTTCCTCAAAAATTAAAAATGTAACTGTCCTTTGAGTCAGTGATTCCACTTCTGTGAATATTTCCTAAGAATCCCAAATACCAATCAGAAAGAATATAGGCACCCATATATTCATAGCAGCATTACTTACAATATCTAAGATATGGAAGGAGCCCAAGCACTCTTCAATAGATGAGTGAATAAAAAAAAGCTGTGGTAGCCAACATTAGCAAATCAACCAACGACAAGTGTTGGCGAGGTTGCAGAGAAAAAGGAACCCTCATGCCCTGTTGGTGGGAATGCAGACTGGTGCAACCACTGTGGAGAACAGAATGGAGTTTCCTCAAAAAACTGAAAATGGAACTCCCACTTGACCCAGTAATCCCACTCCTAGGATTATATCCCAAGAAACTAGAAACACCAATCAGAAAGGATATATGCACCCCTAAGTTCATAGTAGCACAATCAACAATAGCTAGAATCTGGAAACAGCCTAGGTGCACGTCAGCAGATGATTGGATCCAAAAACTATGGTACATCTACACAATGGAATACTATGCTGCCATAAAAAAGGAGGAATTCTCATCATTTGTAGCAACCTGGATAGAATTGGAGAACATCATGCTGAATGAAATAAGCCAATCAATGAAAGAGAAACACCACATGACCTCACTTATTTATGGATAATAAAGAACATTATAAACTGATGAACCAAAAGATAGATATAGAGACAGTAAAGCAACAAGCAGACTGTCAAATTACAGCGGGGAGGGGAGGGAGATTTGGGGGAGATAATAGATCAACTGAAGGACTTGTATACATGCATATAAGTACAACCAATGGACATAAAACTCTGGGGAGGGAGGGTATGTATGGGAGGGAGGAAAGGGGGCAAAAAAATCAATAAAATATATTAAATAAATAAATAAATAAATAAATAAATAAATAAAGCTGTTGTACATTTATGCTGTGGAATACTAAGCAGATGCAAAAATGAAGGATCTCTTTGAGACTTCATGGATAGACCTGGAGAGTATTATGCTAAGTGAAATAAGCCAGTCAGAGAAAGACAACTATCACATGATCTCACTCATATGTGGAATCTAAAGAACAAAATAAACTGATGAACAAAATAGGACCAGAGAAATAGAAGCATGGAACTGACAGATCTCAGAGGGAAGGTGGGAGAGGTGGCGGAAGGAGATTAACCAAAGAACTTATAGATGTGTATGCATAGCCATGGGCACGTACAGTAGTGAGCTGAAGGCCTGGGGTGAGGTGGGAGCCACACAGAGGGGAGCAAAGGGGAGGAAATGGGGGACATCTGTAATACTCTCAACAATAAAAATAAATTAAAAAAAAAAAAGAAGAGGGAATCCCAGCCAGTGTGGCTCAATGGTTGAGTGTCGACCTATGAACCAGGAGGTCATGGTTTGATTCCCACTCAGGACACATGCCCCGGTTGTGGGATCGATCCTCAAGTGTGGGGCATGCAGGAGGCAGCTGACCAATGATTCTCTCTCCTCACTGATGTTTCTGTCTCTCTCTCTCTCTCTCCCTTCCTCTCTGGAATCAATAAAAATATATTTTTTAAAAAGAAGAGGGAAAAGTCAAGAACACACAAAGAGCACCACTCCCCACCCCCCCACCCCAAAACACAGATTTGCCTCTGACCCATCTGTGTCTCCTTCCTCCTACCTGAGGAACTCGCCAGAAGACACCTGCGTGTGCCGCTCTCCTGCTCTCCTGGCTTCTTTCAGGCACCTTGCTCCTACTGTTGTCAGTCACATTGTATTTCCAGGGATCAGCCTCCCTCTGCTCGGCTTTTCCTTCTAAAAGGAGGATTTCTGGTACATTAACACTTTTTTGATATTTCCCCTCTTAAGTAAAGAGACCAATTTTGTTCTCTGGCCTCTACTCCAGCCTGTTCTAGTAAACTGCCCTCCGTAGAGAGGAGGCCCCAGCTGAGGAGGACGGAAGACAGTCTGGAAATGATTTCAGAAAAACACACACATACACACACTCACACACACACACTCACAGGCACGAGTTCCACAGTGTGTGCGCACAGTTTCTCCTTCTCTGATGAATGCATCGCAGACCCAGGCGAGCGGAGGCACAAATGGCCAGGGGATTTCACAATCAGGAAATCCACTCAGCTGCTGTTTAACTCGGTCCAGTGTCAAACAGGGTGTGCCCCTGCCAAGATTCCAAGCGTGAAATGAGATCCCAGGTAAACAAAAACAAATACCTGGCAAGATAAGAAAGACCCTTCTAGGAACACTTCACCAGCTCATTCTGCACAGCCAAGGGTGAACAGCAGATGCCCCCTCAGGAGCCATTGTGCCTGCTTCAGAGCTGGGCACCTCTGGGCGCTGACCTGGTGCTTTGATAACCGAGTTGGAGGTTCTGAGTTCTAGTTCTAGTTTGGTAAGTAATTCATTGAATGTCTGGAGGCATATCACCTGACCTTTGCTGTTCCTTCCCTTCCTAGTTCAAGGACCAGGGCACACCTGAGGGCACTGAAGAAGCATGGAGAGCGGCAGGAAGTGAATCACACCGGAACAGGGAAGGTCAAGCAACCAGGCTCCTCAACCAGTTATTCCACCTTGCCTCTCTCAAATTCTTTCTTTTCTTTTTTTTTTTTTTTAAATATATTTTATTGATTTTTCACAGAGAGGAAGAGAGATTGAGAGTTAGAAACATTGATCAGCTGCCTCCTGCATGCCCTCTACTGGGGATGTGCTTGCAACCAATATATGTGCCCTTGCCTGGAATTGAACCCAGGACCCTTCAGTCCTCAGGCTGACACTCTATCCACTGAGCCAAACTGGTTTCGGCTCAAATTCTTCATCTTCCTACCCATGTCATGGCAGCCCCAGAATCTCGCAAGGTTTTGTTCCTATTCCTACTCTGCCTATACTTTCCTAAGGGGTGCTGGTAAGAGAAGGAGCTTTGGAGTTGGGCTTCTGTTTGAAAGCTGAGTGCTGCCAGTCATCATGACTGTGTAGGAGGAATTCTAACTGTCTGAGCCTCTGCAACGTGCAGACAAGAATATCTACCATCCAAGCTCTGGAAAGTGTAGCTTCGTGGTTAGAGTGTTGTCCAAAGGGTTGCAGGTTTGACTCACATTTGTTATGGGTTTGCTCCCTGCCCTTGATTGGGGTGCCTCTGGGAGGCAGCCCGTCAATGTGTCTCTGACATTTCTGTTTCTCTTCCCCTCTCCTTTCCACTCTCTCTGGAAAGCAATATCAAGATCCTCATGTGAGGATTACCACCCAAGACTGTTAAAAGTATTGACATGAAAAAGTCCAAACCTGCCCTAACCAGTTTGATTCCGTGGATAGAGTGTTGCCCTGCAGATTCAAGAGTCCCGAGTTTGATTCTGGTCAAGGGCACGTATCTTGGTTGCTGACACATACCCAGTAGGGGGTGTGCAGGAGGCAGCTGATGGATGTTTCTCTCTCATCGATGTTTCTAACTTTCTACCCCTCTCCCTTTCTCTCTGTAAAAAAAAAAAAAAAAAAAAAAAATATATATATATATATATATAGATATATATAGATATAGATATAGATATAGATATAGATATAGATATAGATATATATTTTTTTAATTCCAAACCTGTAGAGCATTGTTAAGAGTTTATATGGGTCAAACTGACACATTCCAGGAAGCAAGACCTAAAATGCTCCAGGAAAGAACAGTTTTGCCATTTCTTTTATGCATTTGAAATTAAGGAAGAGGGAAAAAGCAAAGCAGGGGTTGGATTACAAAATAGTTAAGGTTATGTGTTCTCCCGAGGGTGGTTTATTTTAAAAGTGTGTGAACCTAGATACACTAAAACAATGAACAGGGCTTGATTAAGGCAAAGATAAACCTTGTACTAAAAAGTTTTACCTGGAGCATACCTACTCATAATGTCCTTCCCAGTTAGTAATTTATAATCAGATCACACTGTGAGGTTACTTTTTGTAGAACGCTCCCCCCCCCTTTTTTTTAATCTACAAAAGTTATATAGGATAATTCATGTAAAGTACCTAACACAGTGCCAGGCCCATTACAATCAATATGCACCAGTCTTTCCCACTCTCCCTCCCTTCTTCACTTGTATCCATACTGAGAGGTAGTCATATAGCTGTACCAGTCAGGAATGGTTGAATTAAGTCTTAATTATTTCGGGAGAGAAACCAAGATGGCAGCATAGGTAACTGCCTAACTGCAGCCTCACACAACAATTTCAAAAAATACAACTAAAATATAAAGTGGACATTATCCAGAACTACAGGAAAGTCGACTGACTGGAAATTCTACAACTAGAAGGAAAGAGAAAACCAGAAGGAAAATCAGAGGAGCTGTAAAAGCCTAAGGTACGGAGACACCATGCACTAGGGGAGAGGACTGAGCCGGAGAGGATGGGCGGCTGAGTGCTTGGCTGGCGTTCCCTTGTGGGAAGGAGATAAAAGCTCCTGACTGTGCTGAACCCCAGTTCCGACAGCACTGAACCCCAGTTCTGAGCGAGACCCTGGGGACCCAGACACATAAAGAGGGAATCTGGGCTATAAGGCGGAAGCTCAGGGGAGCGGCGAAAGGCAGAGCCCCCGAGTCGCGCACATTTCGTACAGAGGACAGATTGTTGATTGAGCCGCTGGATTGCCCTAACGGGAAGGAGACATAAGCTCCGGACTGTGCTGAACCCCACTTCCAACTGCACTGAACCCTAGTTGCAGGCTCATTGGGGGAGAGACTAGACTGTCTGGTAGTGAGCAAAACTCTAGGGCACCTTTCTCTCAGAGGTGCTTGCAGCGAGTACCAAACGACACTGAGGGACACTGAGACTCAGGAACCTCATAGGTTGGAGCTAACCGGAAGCCAAGGCTATAGGCTCCACCCTGAAACTCCATCCCATCCAAGCTGAACACAGAGGTTCTTGCAGTTTTCCAAGTCTAGTCAAATAAGGCTGTCTCCTGGCATAGATACATCTGATCCTGCCACCCTACCAACTCAGGGAAGCAGCGAAAATGCCAAGCCAAGGAAAGAGATCACAAACGAAAGAAATGGAGGACAAAAAGCGACTGGATATAGAGTTCAAAACCACGCTCATAAGGTTTTTCAAGAATCTCCTAGAAAAGGCCGATAAAATAAACAAGACCTATGAAGATATGAAAAGGGATCAACTAAAAATAAAGAATACATTCTCTGAAATAAAAAATATTATACAGAGTCCTAAAAACAGAATGGAAGATTGCAAGAATCAAGTCAAAGATTTGGAACACAAAGAGCCAGAGGACATTCCTCCACAGAAGCAAGAAGACAAGAGAATCCAGAAATTTGAATATAGTGTAAGAAACCTCTGGGACAACTTCAAGCGAACAAACATCAGAATTATGGGGGTCCCAGAAGAAGAGAGAGAGCAAGATACTGAAAACATACTGGAAGAAATAGTGACAGAAAGCTTCCCCCACCTGGTGAAGGAATTAGACTTACAAGTCCAGGAAGCCCAAAGAACCCCAAACAAAAGGAATCCAAAGAGGACTACACCAAGACACATCATAATTAAAATTCCAAGAGCAAAAGACAAAAAGAGAATATTAAAAGCAGGTAGTTACCTATAAAGGAGCACCCATAAGACTGTCAGCTGATTTCTCAACAGAAACCATGCAGGCCAGACGGGAATGGCAAGAAATATTCAAGGTGGTGAATAGCAAGAACCTACAGCCAAAAATACTCTACCCAGCAAAGCTATCACTCAGAATCGAAGGTCAGATAAAGAGCTTCACTAATAAAAAAAAGCTAAAGGAGTTCATCACCGTCAAACCAGAATTATATGAATTGCTGAAGGGGGTCCTTTAGGAAGAGGAAGAAAATAAAGATAAAAATTATGAATATGTACCTATCAACAAGTGAATCTAAAAACCAAGGGAATTAAAAGACCTGATGAATAATATTAACTGGTGAATATAATAGAATCAGAGGTTCAGAAGGGGAGCGGACTGACAATTCTCAGGGAAAAGGGGAGAGGGGGATGCAGGAAGAGACTGAACAAAAACTGTGCACCTATGGATGAGGACAATGGGGGATAGGGAAAGGACAGAGAGTGGGGTGGGAACCTGGTGGAGGGGGGAAAAATGAGGAACTTTTGTAATAATATGAACAATAAAGATTTATTTTTTTTTTTAAGTCTTAATTATTTCATAATAAGGAAATGGGAAGGTAGAAAGGCTGGAAGGTAGAACAGGAATTCTGTTCTAATAAGAATTCATTTGTGTACCATAATCACTTTTCAGACCAAGGGCTCCAACGTAGTGTTTGAAAGCAGAGACATCCAAGAAGAAAATTGGCTGAGGGTGACAAAGAAGACAGAAGGTAGTGGAAGAAATCTTCCCAAAGACAAAGTGATCAGAATTAATGGTGAGGAAGAAGCACTAAATCAAGACTGATGGCTTCTTAGAAGGCTCTGTTGTCCTAAAGTCAAGGTGAAGACCTGGAGTTAAGTTCTTCCTGTTGCTTGATAAAGGCATTATCCTTCCTACATGGGAAAGAGTCAAGTTGAAACTTCCAAGAACAAAGTTAATGTATCATTTCCAGGAAGCTGTGGTAGAGAAAACACAGGGACTGGTGTCAGAGATGTAGGATGAATGTGTCTTAACCTTGTAAAGCCTTAGTTTCCTAATTTTTACAACTAAGATAATCATGTTCACTTACCTGAAAAAGGAATCTGTTGAGAATTAATAAGAAAATAAACATGTACTTTAATGGTAAGAGTTACATATTCCTGGTCTAGCAAGAATTCATTAGTGTGCCATAATTATTTTTCATACCAAGGGTTTCAACTTAGTGTTTCTGAGTATTACATTGTACTGGAGGTTCTCTAACTTTAACTATGACTGCCCCATCACAGTGGTCTCCAGGGGATGTGCCTTTCCTGCAAATCATGGCATAAATGTGGGTAAAATCCCTTTCTTCTTAAAATAGGTGTAATGCAATGAAACTGCCAATGGACTAGCTAAATATTGAGAGAATAGTTAGAAAACAAATTCAATGAGCTAAAAGTGCAGAACCAGTGTGGATGTTCATGGATGTGGATGTGGGTGTGTGAGTTGTGTTAGTGTGTATTTTCTTAAGCAGAAATTTGCAATACTATTATAGCTGGCTTCTTATCTTCATACTAGAGGCCTGATGCTCAAAGATTCATGCAAGAATGGGACTTCCTTCCCCTGGCTGCTGGCATCACCTTTGCTCTGGCCTGGAGCTGCCTTTCCACCTTCCCACGCTGCCCAGAGGCTTGGAACAGCTGGCCCGGTGCAGAATGGCTGTGTTGCACCCCCTGGCTGTTTGGTGCCTATGTATGCAAATTAATCTGCCATCTTTGTTGAGTTTATTTGCATACCCACTCATGATTGGCTGGGGGCATTACGAATGTATGGTCAATTTACATCTTTTTCTTTTATTAGTGTAGATCACATGTGTCAAACACAAGGCCCGCGGGCCAAATCCATCCCGCCAGGCCTTGCAATGTGGCCCGCACCACGCTGTCATCACTGCACTCCGCTGCGTTTCCATCATAATGACAGTTTATGACTGTTCAGTAAACCATTCGGCCCGCAATTTAGGCTGGATTTTAGATTTTGGCCCCTTCTCTGATTGAGTTCGACACCCCTAGTGTAGATAATCACACTGCAGCCCAACAGCTGCCAACCTCAGCCATCTGCCTTAGCTCCTACTTCTCTGCTCCGAATTTATACATATAAAATGCTATTTTCAGACATTTTTTTTAAAGGTCTTTTTATATCTTCCACAATAAAGACCAAAGGGCATATTTCTAGGATCCAGTTCACTTTCATTTTTATTACAAGTTTCAGAAGCTTAGCCCAGTTCATTTCTGAAACCCAGTATACCCAGGTCTGCTACTAGTTAGCTATGTACTATTGAGCAAATTAAGCTCTCCTAAACCTCAGTTTTCTTATCTGTTAAACTAGGTTTACAATATTATCTCATGAAGAGTCAGTGTAAAAAGTAAATGATATTTAAACACAATAGCTACTGTATAGTAATTATTTCTGTAAGTATAGGAATAAAAATATTCTGTAATAATTATTATTATCCCTTTTCTAATTATG